GGTTATGGATACCAGATAGTTGACACATTACACGTATATAACTTTAAATACATACATTTTATAAATGTATACTCATGATTGGAGTACAAACTTTTTTTTATTCGTGCTCTCACACAAATGAATGCCCCCAGCGGGACTCGAACCCGCGACCGCTGGCACAGCAAGTAGTCACTACGAACTGAGCCAAACGTGTCGTCAATACATTTTTTCGTATAGTCATCTAATTAATATTTTATACATCATGGCAGATTTTTTACTTTAAAAATAGTAAGTAAACTTTTTCAAAACGAAAAAAGTTTTACAAGCGCTTATTTAACTTGCGACGTTTGTTAGTTAGCAAGTTTGTATGGATCAAAACATACAGGTTGAATTAAAACTACTTCCTCTAATCCTACAGAGTTGAAATTTACCATAATTGTTCAGTTCCGGTGACAATTTTTATAACAATTATGACCTGATTCAGAAGAAGCAACTTCTCAACAGTCAATAGTAGGGGCACAGTTCTTTTTTAAATCTATCATGACTTCTAAGTCAGCAGCTATGCTGTGTGCATAATTAGCTTTAAATGAGACAGCACCTCAGCAGTCAAAAATATTTTCTTCTTTTTAAACGTTTGTTTTTTGATATATTTTTCATTGATATGTCATTCATTAATTTATCATCGAACTCACTTACATATGCTATAAGCTACTTACCCTCGCTGATCCCTAGTTATCTAACAGAGACCATGTGGTACTGCAGGACTAACTTTGTACTTAATTTGTTCAAATTAAGCCGTTTAACCGTGAATGGGTGACAAACAACAAACACTCACAAAAGAAGAAATTATACTACTATCCAAGCCATCAATATCGTGTCGTAGACACCCCGCCCCCACTATAACGCACCCTTATCCGCCCCCGTAAAATAAACAAGCTGAAAACAATTTCCGGATTCTGCTATCTAATGCTTATACAAATTATAATTTCTCAATTCCTGTTAAAGGAAATGAAATTATTTTAAATTGAGAGGGTTCATTTATAGCTCACTGACTTGACTGACTGACTGACTAATTATTTTAATGACTTTAAAAGTAAGGGGTCCTCAATTCGTGTATGTTTGTGTGTTATGCGGTATCTCCGCGTATTATGAATATTTAATTGTCATGATAATTGCGTATATATTTCATAAAAAATCAATTTCTATGAATGGAATAATCTATAATATATACATTATACATATATGTATCAAAATAGGCAAAGACAAACAGTTCAGTATCTTTTTCTCCTCTGTTTTTCTACTGACTTCTTGTTTGATTTAGTAGGCATTGACGAGTTTTAGTGTAATCAATAAACAATATATATATATATATATATATTCTTTATTGCATATTAATAGAGTAATACAGAGACGAATGTGGGCAAAGGTGGACTTATCTCTAGAAGAGATCTCTTCTAGCCAACCTATGGAAGTGAGAAATAGTGTTATATGATGGGACTAAAAGAGTGCAATTGATTTAAAATAATTATAAATAATTATACAATTAAATAAGACAAAAAGACACATATAATGATAAATATACAATAACTTACATATTATACATACTATATACACATATACATACATATATACATACATATTAAAGTATAAATATAATCGTACATATTTTAAAACTGGTAGTTTTATTTATAAGGATGGGAATTTAATTCATATATGTTTTTCTCAAATATTCAGTATTGATCAGGGTCGAATTTCAGCGACTGAGCGGATGCTATTTATCAATACATATTTAATATAAAGTCTCCTGCCATATTTCTCTGTCTGTCTGTGTGAATGCGATAACTCAAAAACTATCGAATGGATTTTCATACGGTTTTCAGTTTTCACCAATAGATAAAGTGTTTCATAAGGAAGGTTTAGGTGTATAATTCATTAAGGTTTTGTGTAAATAGGTTGAAATATGACGATGATTGTTGAAGATATCCGAAAAAATCATGTCGACTGGGATGTTGGGAGCGGAGCGAGAGTAAGGCACTTTTTATTTGTCCCTATGTACGTTTTGACGCTTAGTATGCAATAGATTCTTTTTTTTTCATAATTTTTTCGAAATTTTTAATCCAACAAAACAAATATCATAAAAATCGATCCAGCAGTTCTCGAGTTATAAATGTTGTAACAAACCCGACTTAGTTTTGTATGGATAGATAGATATATTTGTAAACGAACTGTTTTCTCTTTGCCTATTTATATATGGATATAATTTTGAATGACGTTGTGTATACTTTTATTACAAATCACCTTATTTATTGTGTCATTTCATCAAATATGATGAAATGACTCACTCTCGCTTCGTTCGGGTTCGCCCTTAGCTACGTTTTGACGGTTGCTAGGTATATATATATATATATATATATATATATATATATATATATATATATATATACATACATATATATATATATATATATATATATATATACATACATACATATATATATATTGTATGATAGCCTTTCTCAATAAACAGGCTATCTAACGCAAAGAGAATTTAATCAAATCGGCTTAGTAGTTACTGAGATTAGTGCGTTCAAACAAACAAACTCTGCCTCTTTATAATATATGAAACGATGTATGTAATTTCATATACACTATATGAAATAACATACATATATATATATACATATATATTGTATTAGATTGAAAGAATATCCTATAACGACACATGTCAATAAGAAGATATATTGAGTTTGTTACTTGTAAGAAACTTTCAAGTGGAGTGACAACGACTTAAGGTTTTGGGAAAATATTATTATTTTAGACGATGATAGCCCAGTGGTGACACGCTCGCTTACGAAACCGAGTAAAGCGGGTTCAAACACGGGTCTCGATATTTTCATGTGCGATATATTTTTGATATTATGACCACTTGTCTTACGGTGAAGGAAAACATCGTGAGGAAACCTGCATGTCTGAGAGAACCTAGCACGTTTTCGAAAGTCACGGTCAGCCAGCGTGGTGAACTATTTTTCGGCATCTCACATGTGTCTCTTAGCCGACTAATAAAAAGAGGAAGGTTCCCAAATTGTGTGTTATAAATTATGTTAAGTTGTACGAATGTAATTTTTTTTTAAATAATTATACCTATTTGATATGGTTTTTTTTACTAAAAAAACAAAATAATTCAAATATTTTATATATATATATATATATTGAATGTCAAATATTCGCGTTTTAAGAATGTATTATTTTAACACGCTTTTATTTTAACTAACCAGTAATCAAACGATAGTCCATTTCACTTATAATTATGTAGTTCGGATAACAATACAATGATTTGATACCGAATTATTGATCGAGCTGAGAATTTGATGATGAAGCGAACTCTTCAATAACTACTAATAAGAACTTCAAGGGCTCATTTGATTCGTTTTGACGAGTCTCATATTTATTTTCCGTTTTTTAGGGTTCCGTAGCCTAGAAGAAAAAAATCGTGTGGGCCTGTGTCGACTGTCGGCACACTGCCGTTGGTTTAATGTGAAACGTGAGTCGCTTTTAGTGTTTTTGTTTTTGAAGTTATGCTTCTTTGGGACGCGTTTCACGCGCGCACACCGACAGCCAAAAAGCGACATGATGAAGTCAGCTGTTAACTATTTATTGCCATGGTAACCTTTGTTATTGTCTGACAAATGATATATAATATTATATTCTTTCCTAAAATTATATGCTATAAATATATGATTGTGATATGCCTAATATGCTGTATTTAATTATTTTATGTATGTTTCGGTGTGATTTTAAAAACGTTTCACATCAAAACGGATCCTTTAAAATTTTCTTGTGTCTAAAGCCTCGTGTTATTCTCTATGTATGTAACAGCATTTTTTATAGCTGGCATTTTGTAAGTAGGTTTCATATATGAACCTCTAAACAATTGTTCAATCTGTGCCAGCCGACAACGCCTCAAGATATGAATATCTAATAGGTAAATATAACTAGATATGAACTCTAATTATAGTTAAAATGTTATACATCTATTTGTAACGTATTTTACGTATCGAAATAGATTTGCTTTGCTTTGCATCAGCTGGCACCGACTTCGTAAATATCTATGTAAAAGAAAACTCCTGTTCAGTTTTTTTTTATTTTTTAGTGTCCTATAGTGGGATTTTTTTATTTTTTTTTTTATTTTTTATCCCGCAACATTGTCACCCTAACAATGAATAAGCACTTTACTCTGCTGACGTCATCCATTGATCCACTCGTTCAGTGTGACGCCGCACCGCCTTAGTGGCTGATTGAATTAGTTTATTTTCTTATTAATATAACTTACTTTCGGTAATAGAAAGTTCTCCACGTCCCTTACGTGCATTAAGTTTTTATTCATTACGTTACTATATTAAAATTAACCAGTGGTAGCCCAGTGGTAACGCGCTGTGTATATATATATATATATATATATATATATATATATATATATATAGGCAAAGACAAAACAGTTCAGTATCTCTCTCTCCTCTGCTTTACAGATTAATAAAAATAAAACAATATGTACCTATCTATATATATACCTACATATAATAAAATTCTAACTTAGTCGAAGTCGAACATTAAGTATTTTTTGGATTTTTATCTGTCTGTCTGGGAACGCATCAAAAGAAAATCACTGGACAGATTTTGATGAAATTTAGCACGACGATAGCTGGTAAGCTAAGTCATCATATAGGATACTTTTTAATGCGGGAAAATATCTCTGAAAAATCTATATTAAATTTTAAAACGGAATTAGGAGTGAACCCGACCGGAGCGAGGTTGAGTCGCTAATATTAAAATTTAGCCTATAAGTTTCATAATAATAATAGACTTTGCAAGCAAAACACATACTTTCCTCATTAGTATATGTCTATACAATACCATGGTACATCACTAGTGAGCAAAAAAATAACATTTTACTAACAATTTATTAAATAAAGAAAAAATGTCATCATCTATAACAAGTAAGATTACCAACATCTATCTCATTAAAGTAGCAAGTTAAGCAAGGCTTGGACAACGCAGATGACGAGCTGAAGAAGACCTGGTAGAAGACCACCACCAATACCAACCAGTACATCATCAGCGAGGTCCGTAATGGCTGAGATAAGAGATGTGAGTAGACCTTGCATATTAGTGACTCCACATGATGGAGTTTTTGGGTTCGCTCCTGTCGCATATTCTGGCAAAGATCGCAAGAAGTTGACAATAGCTAACGCTTGCGAATATAGCTTCAGCAAAGACGTTTCCAAAGCAGATAGATCTACTGGTATGAGGCTGCTTATGGCTGGTGGAAGAGTGTCAAAAATAGATAGAAGAGAGAGCAGCAAATTGTACACGTTGTTCAAGAGCGGAAGCAGGATATTCACTAGCGGATAAACTGCTGGCAGCTGGACATTGGTTGCAGATACTGGATTCTGGAACAACATCAAATATTTTTTGATTTAGTTTTATATATTTTCATACTAATGCAAATATTTGGCGAACGCTATTGCTAATAAAAACACCTTTTAGTTCTCAGCAAATTGCTGATGATGCGAATTCTACTAAAATATTGCACTAACATGAATTTTCAATCTAATGGTTTTTAAATAAAATTAACATTCGTGTAATGCACAACCATATTTCATCTATAGATTAGTATAGTGATGTCAATTAAAAAAAATCAGTAACATTAAATCGATAGAATATCGATAATTTAAAATGAAGAACATCAAATTGGCTTGTTGGAGCTAATCTGATTGAACATCGCAATAATTTAATCATAAACATAGATTAACTCACCGTAAACAAACAAACAGCAACGAAAACTAATGCGATTGTTAGCTTCATTGTTAAGTAAAAATATATATTTACCACAAAAACGAGTCAAGCTCCAAGCCTATCGCTTAGTTTCTAAAGAATCAATAAACTGCCATATTATATACAAGAATGTTACGTTACAATAAATTTTTGATATCTTATCACTTAGTTGTAGTTACCCAATGATGGCTTCATCTACATAGATTTTAAATCTAAGGATTTTAACTTGAATATGCTTTGTATATATATAAAACAACTAGCGACTTGCCGTCGTTTCGCTCGGGGCGTCCCGAAGTACGGATAATTCCATAATACATTGTTTTCATATAACTCTACTAACGGGTTAGTTCATGGTGCGTAATTGGGTTGGTTCCCCATACAAATTTTCATCCCCATTTTCACCCCCTTAAGGGATGATTTTTGGGATGAAAAGTATCGTATGTCCTCCCTAGGGTCTCAAACTATCTTCTTACCAAATTTTATGTAGATCTGTTCAGTAAACCTCACAAACTCACAAACTTTACCTACCTACGCGGCGCGCGCCAGTGAAACTCCCAGTCGGCATGATTTTTTCCAACATCTTCAACAATCATCGATATATTTCTTTAAATTCACGCAAAAACCTAATAAATTATACACTTAAACCTTCGTCATGAATCACTCCATCTATTGGCCAAGGCTGTATTCAAATCCGTTCAGTAGTTTTTGAGCTTATCGCGTTTAGACAGACAGACGCGATGGAGGGACTTTGTTTTATAATACGAGTATTTAGTCATATTCTCATTTCACCTTTGACCCCTATTAAAACCTGCGTGCCCTTTATAATATAAATATAGCACTATTAACGTTCTTCACGGCTCTGTGTACTTTGTTTATATGTCATAACTCATAAAGGTCGTAGAGTGATGCAGAATAATTTTTAACTTTCTTTAATAAATAGACCAATAAAAGCAAAAAGAATTTTCAAATAGGACTGTTAGTTGCAATTTAGCTTGTCTTAATAAAATTTAGTTTTATACATATATTTCTAGCAAGTCACCCTCGCTTCGCTCAAGTTCGTCCCTAGTGTAAATCAAAAACAAATTTATCCCACTTATCCCACGGGAACCGTAAATTTTACGGGATAAAAAGTTATCTATGCGCTGTTTCAAACTATGTATAATCTATCTCTGGGCCAAATTTCATCGAGATCCGTTCAGTTGTTCTGGCGTGATTGAGTAACAAACATACATCCAAACTTTCGCATTTATAACATTAAAGGAATTTTTCGTATTACGTTCGAAAGAGTGATGTAAAAAATAATTATATTGACTTGTGATAACTAGATATACATACATATGTTATTATATAAATTAGGTTTATACCTTTGCAATAAATATTATTATTATTATAACACAGTACATTTTTTAGTCATAAGTAAATAAAATTAATAATAAATATGTTGGTACATTATCACACAGCACCATCTGGTTCCATGGTAAGCTACGAGGCTTGTGTTATGGATACCAGATAGTTGATACACTACATATATATAACTTTATATACATATCTATAAATATAAACACCCATGGCTAGAGTACAAACATTCGTGCTCATCACGCAAATGAATGCCAGCGGGACTCGAACCCGCGATCGCTGACACAGCAAGTAGGGTCACTACTCACTACAAACTGAGCAATAAGTTTTATATTTTTTTTTTATTTTTATTTACTTTTTTTTACACATTGTATCAATTCAATGATCACTTGTGTACGTCAATTATTATATATATTAATATATTTTCTCTAACGACCTGTTTATGAACATATAACTCAAGAACGGCTATTTTCAATAAATAATTTTGTCTAAGTGATATATTTAGTTCATTTGTTAAGTTCAAAGAAACTTGAGCATATTGTTAAGAGTCGGAAATTGTTACGGCCTGTAGATACATACGCATATGCTGTCCTTACTTTTGCCCATAGAGTATATTGCTACATATAAAATTGCTTTTACCTCAAATGAGACTCGAACCTACAACTTTCCAAATAAAAGGCAATAATAAGGTGAAATATTTTTTTATAATCTTTATTGCTTCTGAATTGAGCCGAAATCAATGTTTTTAACAAAATTTCGTTTTCATTAAAAAAAATAATTATTAAAAAGTGCAAATATAGGTGGGAAATTCAAAGTAGTTGAAATGCACGCCATTGGTCAGATCGAATATGACGTCAGAGTATATCATAACAGAGCGATCAGCGATTTTGTCGCTACAAATTGCGTCGTCATTTTTCTGCTTATGGTACTGTGACGTCACGCCAAGCGCGCGAAATGGCTGGCGTTTAAACGTTAAAGTATCCGTATAGGTATGATATTTTTAATTTTTTTCATACTAAATTTTAGTTTTTTAGAGTAGTACCTATATTTTTTTACAATTATAAAACGATTTTAACTATTGTACAAAAAAAATCATATTCCCTATTACAGTACATATATATTGCGCCATGAAGTATACTCTCTTATCACTTGGAAACTATTACCAAAAGAACACTAACAGTTTGATATTAAATATCGTCATTTCTCCACAATCAAGTATAAAAATGACATAATATCTGAGATAAATATTATAATATTTACACAACTTCGGTAGCAATCGCTTATATAAAAGCTAAAACCGATTCGTCATAAACTCATAAGTTGTTGTAGTAAAGTGATATTTTGTTAAATATATAAAATGCGTTTGCAAATTGTTTCGTGTCTCGCAATTTTATGTTTGGTTTGTAAATTTTGTTTACTTATTCATTAAATATGCAAATCACATTAGCTTTTAATCGACTTCAAAAAGAAGGCTCTCAATTTGGCTGTATATTTTTTTGCCAGCCGATACAAATTAAATCGCACCGACTTCCAAATTATCTGATTAGGTATCTATAGTAAATGAAAACTACCAATCTGTTATGTTTTTACTTTATAGTGTTTTATTTTGAAGTCGGTTTTTATTGATTTTTGTATTGATAATATTATGTATACGTAGTACCTGGGCGACCGGGCTTCGCTCGGAGTTTTTGCCCAAAAGTACAATTTTCTTTTTGAAAAAAAAAAAATTGAATAAATACAAAAAAAACAAAAGTAAAAACTTTTTATTCGACCGGTATTCGGACCCAGACAGCTGTGATTAATAATCTTGCGCCTTCTCCATTTGATCACGATGCTTATGCCCGAGCTTGCAAAATTAGCGACCATATTTTGCGTGCAATTATGCGAAAGAAAACCGCATGAAAACTCGAAAACACGCGTTTTTCCAGACATAAAACTAATCTAGATGGATTTTTCGCTCCCGAAAACCCCCACATACCATATTACAGCGAAATCCTTAGGGCTCTAAGGTGGGCTTGAAAACGGCTGTTTTCAAGATCACCGGTATATAAATAAATAAATATTGAAGAATTGCTCGTTTGAGGGTATTAGAGATACATACATACAACGCCACCTTTTGGCATATTTTATTTATCTAACAATAGCCTATGTAATAATCCAGTTCTATCTATCTGTGAACCAAATTTCATCAAAATCTGTTTTAGCGTAACAAACACACAAACATTCATTTTTACAATAGTACTGTAGTTTAATGTATATAATTTTAATGTTGTTTGATTTAATTGTTTTTTTTTCAGGTCCAAAGCAGTAATGCAATGATCCCAGCCTACTCAGTTTCTGCTCTTCGGCTAGCCTTCGACGAGATATCCACTGTTCTACCTATCGCTAACCAGCTTGCCTGCCTTCTACTACCATTTTTGATAAATCTTATCAACAATTTGAATAACTTATCAAACATCGTCCAAAATTTGACGCCGGCTTTATTGCCTTACTTCGGTTGTACACTACCTTTGCTCTATGCCACATTAACAGATTTGGCTTCAGTTCTCTTCCTATATATAAGCGTTTTGATATCACTGTTTAGGTCTAATGTGCTTGCTGCCCCAGGACTTCTCTTGGGGCTGGTCTCTCAAGTACTGAATTTAGTGCTAGGTCTGTTGAAAGGTCTGACAGACGGATCAGGTCTCCTATCAGGTCTGATCAAGCTGATTACGAACATATTGTGTGAGCTGGAAAAGTTGTTATTGTAATATTGTTAGTTGCTATTTATAATTAAATTGATAAATTGTTTTTTTGTATTTATTTTTACCTATTTTATGTTTTTATTTATTTTATTATACATTATAGTAAAAGTTGATCGGAAGATTGAAAGGAGAAGGAATAAAGATATTTTTTAAAGAAAACTTGTTAAATAGCAATATATAAATTCAACGCGCCCAAACATGATATCTCTTCAGTATGTTAATAAAGAGTTGAGTATCTTAAAGATTCCAAGGCAGCAGACCAAAGTCACCATATTGTTGCAATATCATTAAAGTATCGGGACACCAACTTTCGTATTGATAACATCTGTGGAAGTTACTCATATTACCGTTTATAAAGCCTGCAAACGGTTACCTTTCAAATTAAAAAAAAAAACTAATTTAAAATCGGTTCATCTGTTTGGGCGCTATGATGCCACAGACAGATACACACAAATACACATGTTAAACTTTTAACACCCCTCTTTTGCATTGGAGGTTAAAAATTAGAGGAAATAATGTATGATTAGAATTTACCTATCTATGTCATACATACAAACTGTTTTTAAATTCTTTATATTGATAACACTAAAGCACAGCAACAGCTACTAAACAAAATAAAGTACTTATATTTATATAAAAATTCTAAATTAGACGTCCTACAATTAATAAAATCTAGCGTGGCCATCACATATTATATATATATATATATATATATATATATATATATATATATATATATATATAATATAAAAGTGTAACTGATCGCTGTCTGTACATAGAAGATATTTGAGAAAAACCAGAACAATGATTTTTAGAATTTTTGTCTGTTTGTCTTTGAGTTGGTGCGCGGCTAAACCGATTTAGGTGCGGTTTTTACTAATGTATTATGCTAAGCTTGATACATTTAGTATTTGTTTCATTACAATCTTTTAATAAATAACAAAATTTATGTTAATTTAAGTGCGAGTTTAAGAGCGAATCGAGGGTGAGTCGTAAGTATTAACTATACTAACTATATCTGGACGATATTCTAAAGAATTACTACTTAGGGGTTGCCAGCCTTAAGATTTATTTTTCACTTTTTGTAACCTAAAAGCTTTTTTATGTTGCCATTTCGTTTACTTACTTTTTAGTGTTCTCGTACGACGTTGTAGCTGTCTGTGGATGGGTTTACCCTATTTTTTTTATTTAAAAAGGCTAATAGGACGTTCGTGTTGTAAATATAATGATCTATGTATAATATATATACTAATATGTAACTAAATATACTAATATATAAAGCTGGGATATTTTTTGTTTGTACGCTCTAATCTCTGATACTTTAATAACCCGATTTGAAAAATTATTACATTCTATATGTGTATATATTCTATCTATGTATATATATACATATACACAATAAAATTCTAACTAATCCGAATCTGTACATAAAATATTTTTTGGAAAATGTTATTGAAATGAACATTATTATCGATACGGAGGCCGAATCTATAGTTTTTAGATTTTTGTCTGTCTGTCTGTTACCGCATCACAGAAAAACCAGTGGAGGGATTTTGATTAAATTTGGTATGGTGATAGCTTGTTATCTGGCGATAACTGCAATGTAAGAGTATAGTAATATGTAAAACCTAAGTATTTGGTTTTTGGTCATCTGAACGCGGGCGGAGCCGCGGGCAATGCTAGTATTCCATATGTATGTATATATGCATGATATGTCTCACTTATTAATTGCATTATGAATTTCTCATTCTTCTTCTGACTTATCGTTTGGTTTAGTCATTAGCAAGTACGCCTGTACGTAGAAAGGTCATGGGTTCAAGTAATTCGGGCTCTGATATAGTTATATTACCGCCGCTACCAAAATCGGTTAAAAGACATTATTTTATTAATTAATTAATTATTATCTATTATATATATTATATACAAGCTACTCGTTCTTGCTTCGCTCGGGCTCGTCCCTAGCTTGATTCCCCATACAAGCTTCCATCCCCATTTTCACCCCCTTACGTGATGATTTTTGGGATAAGAATCTTATTTCCTTCCCAGAGTCTCAAACTATCTTCTTACCAAATTTCATCTAAAGCGGTACAGTAAATCCAGAGATGATCCCCTACAACCTCATAAACTTCACCACTTTATACTATTAGTGTAGAATTATTTATATTAGATTTCGATAAAATTTATCATGAGAGCGAAGTCGCGGGCAAAAACTAAAGCAAAATAAAACATAAATACTATTATACCTACAAATAGCTTTTCATGGAACACTCGCTACTTGCCCAGTTTATTAATTAATTAACACTCCGCTCCTTAAGGTTTAAACGTGATCTAGGGTTAGGCACCCTTCCTAAATAATCTACACTAATATCATCTATACTAATATTATAAAGAAGCAGAGTTTGTTTGTTTGTTGGTTTGTTTGAACGCGCTAATCTCAGATATTACTAATACCATTTTAAATTTTTTTTTTGCATTAGATAGCCCGTTTATTGATAAAGGCTATATATATATATATATATATATATATATATATATATATATATATATAATCGTTAAAACGGACGTGACATTTGTGTCTGTATGTAGGGTGTGACTGTGATCTCAAAAATTACTGATGAGATCGTGACCATTCTGTGACTAACTCCTGTTAGCTACGTTACCGCCGAGTGCTTTTGGCTATTTTTTGTATGGATAAAAATATGTTTACTGTCAGAAATCATATTAACTTCAATTGAAAAAGGATAAAAGCCGGGCTATTGAGCTACTACCGCTACTGTTAAGCCCCTTAGACAAGCGATGTAAAATGAAAATAAATTTTAACATTTCCAGTTATTCACGTTTATATACCGTTGGCTTACTATTACGAGGTTCTATGTTAATTTTCATGAAGTTTAGTAATTTTTACATAGAACTTCGTTATTTTGCTATCGTAAAAAAAAACAACATAGAACTATGTAAAATTGAATATTTTGTAGTTAAAGTGCCGCTATCTAGGGGTTTGTTTTTGCAAAACTGTAGCTAATGACACATAGAACCTTGTAGCATTAATAACTAAATAAGTACTAAAATTGTAACATAGAACCTTGTAATAGTGAGCCAACAATATTACGATCGACTTATGGCCGATTTCACCAACGTCACCTAAGTTTAAGGGATCCCCTAAACATGGTTAGGGGGCTGTTAGGGGATAGTTTCTGTTTCACCGACAGTTAGGGGTCACCTAAATGTTAAAATGCCACCTAAATAGGTACTAGAAATACGGGCTCTGACGATGGTAAAACGAAATTTAATTTAGGTGCCAGTTTAGGGGACTTTTAAGCTACGAATCCCATACGTAGGTGGTAGCTTATGGCATGTTGGTGAAATCGGGCATTAATCTCGCTTTACTCGGGTGCGTACATATTGATGTGTTTTTTGTATTTATATATTTTGACTAACGATTCACCTTCGCTCCGCTTGGATTCGTCCCTATGTTTTAAAGTTAGTACAGGTTTCTCAGGGATGAGATATTTTCCCGCAATAAAAAGTATTCCATATGTTGACCCGGATAACCAGCTATTATCATGCCAAATTTCATCAAAATCCGTCTTGTGGTTTTTTCATGTGTTCCCAGACAGACAGACAAAAATTCTAAAAACTATAAATTCGGTCTCTGTATCGATAACGATGACTATTTTAATAAGATTTTCCAAAAAAAAAAATTTAATGTACAGATTCCAGTCAGTTACAATTTTATTATATGTATAGATTGTAGATTAGGCCATAGTCCGCCACGCCGGCGACATTATTTATCCAAACGAGCACATTAATACTGGACTACGACTTACTAAATTAAATTATAAATGAAACTATTAAATAAATGTAAATAAAATACCACCATCTCAAAACTCCTTGTTACTGCTACTTTATCTTTATAATAATAATTATTTCTTTATTTATTGTACTATATAAAGTGACAATTTAAGGGGTTAAAGTAAGTAAAGCAAGTTGTAGAAAAAGTGTCAAAAAATAAGTTTAACTACGATCTCCTAAACTAAGCCAGAGCCTGTATTTTAGGTGACAGACGTTCCGCTTTCACAATCGGGGGGCACGGCAGTGCCCCCGCCAAGTCGAGCAAACATTGAATTTACAACTATTTATATGTCATGCGAGTGCTTCAACAATATCAACAACTTATATTATAAATATGCATCATATTTGGATAAAAGAAAAGAAGAAGATTTTATTTATACATTAAAATATTTTTTGACGTCAAATTTTATTTTCTTGGTGAGAGCTGTTACTCGATATCCGAGTTTATGATATCTAATAAAATAATATCTACCACGCAAAATTTCTGTCAATCAATGGCATGCGTGCCGCGAGATCAGATGCAGACGGCTTAAAGTGTTCTCTGAGGCATGGGAGTCTCTAACTCCTACTGCTGAGGATTTCTTGACCTGAAAGCTCAAAAACTAAAACTGGTCCGATCCAAAACTCGAACCCAAGACATACGAATTTGCAGCAGTTCATGCTAGCTACTGGACCAACGACGCAGTAACTATCTCATATATGGAACATGACAAGTGTATGTAAGGAAAACAAAATTTTGTCAAAATATATTACTGTGTTTTCAGCCTTTATTTTTTAAAGTCCCACTGCTGGGCACGCGCCTCCCTTCCATACGAAGACGGATCAGGCCATATTACATTCGTACAACTTTACATATATAAAACACACACAAATTAAGAACCTTTTATTATGTAAGTCGGTTAAGAGAATAAGAACATGTGAGGTGCCGAAAAATAATCCACCACGCTGGCCAAGTGCGGGCGGACTGAGCAAGTCTTACGAAAACTTGCTAGGTTCTCTCAGACATGCAGGTTTCCTCACGATGTTTTCCTTCACCGTAAGACAAGTGGTAATCATGTTGGAAAAGATTCGCACATGGTTATCAGAGGTGCTAGGATTTGATTCCCGGGATTTGAACTCGGTTCACTCGGCTTCTCAAACGAACGCGTTACTACCAGGATACCACTACCTATATTGTAACATTACACCACTATAATTACATATTGTTACTGAAAGCTATAGAAAAATATTGCATAACTTATCTTATTTAATCATTCGTGATATATCACGATTTTGATTTTAAATATAAGATAAAAAAATATATTATTGGTATCATTTATTTATAAGAAGACTTTGTTCTTTTATCACGTATTTGTGAAACTGATTTTGATGAAACTTCATCACTCCATCATTTTAATGTCATAAGAGAAGATATGACGATAAATGATGCTTAAATTGATTTTGATATTTGATTGTTTATTATTATTGGTAAGTTGCTTTTTTTGTTATTAATAACTGACTCAATGGTCTAGCATGTACGGCTGCAGATCCGGAAGTTTTGGGCTCAAGTTCCGGGTCGGGCCGAGTTTATTTACTGAGTATTTCTTTTTATTATTTACTAATATTATACTATTATACTCACTCTTGCTTCGCTAGGGTTGGTCTCTAAAAAAACAAACAAAAATAAATCTATCCGACGGGCACAGTGCATTTTTCCGAGATAAAGAGTTTTCTATGTGCTATTCCAAACTATAATCTATCTCTGTGCCAAATTTCATCCAGATCCGTTGAGCCGTTCTGGCGTGAAAGAGTAACAAACATCAATCCATGCAAACGTCTAACTATCCATCTGTAAGTAGAAGTAAGACTTCCAAAAAAAAAGTTAAACAGAGCAAAAGTAAAATATGTGTTTTATATAATTTTTTTTGTTTAAGTTTTTTGAATTATTTTTAATATATATGTACGTAAATCTTTCTGTAAGCGGATTTAATTGCGTCAAAAATATTTAGCGTAACTTTTTTGAAATACTAAACTTGAAAATAAAAATTATCTCATACTAGCACTCACCCTCGTTTCGCTCAGGTTCTTCCCTAGGTACGTTTCGACGCTTAGTATGGAGTAGATTCTTTTTTCAAAAGTTTTTTCGTAAATTTTCCGATGTTTTTATAGTTATTCTGATATTCGGGGTGAAGATAAATCCAACAAAACAAAGATCATAAAAATCGGTCCAGCAGTTCTCGAGTTATGTGTTGTAACAAACCCGACTTAGTTTTATATAACAAAATTGTAACTAAGCCGAATCTGTACAATAAATATTTTTTGGAAAATCTTATTAAAATAGACATTATTATCGATACGGAGGCCGAATCTATAGTTTTTAGAATTTTTGTCTATATGTCTGTCTGTCTATCTGTTACCGCATCACGGAAAAACCACAGGAGGGATTTTGATAAAATTTGGTATGATGGTAGCTGTTTTGGTCATCTGAACGCGGGCGCGGGCAATGCTAGTATTATATAAGATTAATGACACTATTGTCGAAATAAAATGTATGTCATGAACTAGTCTATGATATATCGCCGTGTGTGCCATTCAACCAAATTCGTTTAACGATTTACGTTGTTGAATAACAAACATATTCATGTTAATAATATTAATGAGACCATTTCTTTTGCAGGTGACATCAAATCCTTTGCAAGGATTACAGTCATGTCCCATAATCAATTACCAACAAAATTACGTCAATGCTGACCAATTAGCTAGAGCATCAAGCTTTGATGCTTACCCACAGCAATTATTTTATCCTAATCAGTGGCCATCACCGCAAAATATTCCAAATTTATATCAGGATCAATCTAATAGATATTATGACAATTTTCTCATCAATGTTATACCTAACGCACAAATAGATACTAATATACCTATGTATAGTCAAAATGGTTTCGAGGTAATGCAATACCAACCGAATCTAATGGAAAGTTCACCACAATTAATGAACAATTATATTATTGTACCTGAAAATTATTTAAACGATCAACTATTTGATAATAGAAGAAATGTTTATGTACCGTCTACATTAAATGGGTATACGAATGAAAACATGTGGATACCCAGAAATTCTAATCCAATTATAAATTATTATGATCCAGTACAGAATCCAGTTGCTTACATAGGGAATAATGGCAATCAAAATATAAAATCAACACAACAATCTAATACGGAAATATACAAACAGTTTAGGGATAGAAATGAGAACGAAAAAGAAAGTATTGAACGTAAATCTTCTAAGAAAAATCGTAAGAGAAAAAAGAACACAACCAAGTCATGTAAAAATGATGAAAATCAAGGAACGAAATCTAAAACTAGTAAATCAAATAAGGATTCAAGCTTACTCACACGCCAAACTGATATAAGTAATCAAAAATTCAAAGCTAATAATAACACCAAAAACAACAAACCAAAAACTCAACGTAGATCAAAATCTAATAAGATAATTGACGAGAATACAGAAGCAAAAGATATTACAGTAAAAGATTGTGCCTTAAGGCAAGATTTCAATGAATGTTTGGACATAAACGAAGATTGTACAAGTCTTGAAAATCGCTTCCCTCGTAATAATAATAAAAACAACCAAGTTCAAACATTTCAACAACAATATCCAAATGTGCCACAAGATTTCACTAATAATATTGCATCTTATTTAGCTAACTTTATGCCAAATCAAAACTTCAATGCAAACTTATTTAATGGAAACGGAAATTTTCCCTATAATTTTGATTATTTATATCAAATGCCACAGCAATCTAACGTAAATTCTAACGAAAATGATAGAAGACGCAGGAATAGAAGAAGAAAGAAAAAATCAAAATCTAACCGACAATCAAATACTAGCCAAAGTTCAAACAAACAACAAAATAATGAAGATAATTGTAACAAAGTGGTAGAACTATCAACAAAATCAGCTGAAATAAATACCATGACAGGATCAATATCATATCAAGACAAAAACAATAAATGTGAGCAAGAGAAGATTATTGAAAATAAGAAAAAACAGAGATCTAACAGAAAGCCAAATACTGACCAAAGTTCAAACAAACAACAAAATATTGAAGATAATTGTAACAAAGTAGTTGAACTATCACCAAAATCATTAGAAAGAGAAACCTTAATAGAACCAATACCTAATCTTATTACAAATAAGAAAAATCAGAAGCAAGTTATAGAAGTAAAAACAACAGAAAAAACTTATTTAGATATTATTAATGAACCAAATACTGAAATAGTTCTTGAACCTTCGATTACTTTACTTCAAAAACATGATTTAAATTCAGAAGTTTTAAACGATGAAGATATTCCCAATGTCTATGATAATGATATTTTCGACGATTATTATCCAGATTTTACATCAGATAGTATTTATTTAAGTAAAGAAGATCACGATTGGAATTTTCATGATCGACATTATTACACCTCTGATAACAATGCTGAAATGAGCACAGAAAGACGACGATATGAACCAAATGCACGACGAAGTCTTGAAAAAAAACAATTTGATACTACAGAAACGGTACCAAAACACAACTCGGATAATATAAGGGAAATGAAGGCATTGACTGAAGAAACAAATTTTAAAACACCACCTGGGCTAGAATTTCCAGATTTTAAAACTGAAATGATAAACAAAAATAAATATAGTCCTAAAACTGATATCAATTTTCAGCCTAATGCTAATAATAATTACCAAAGTGACAAAATATCAGCGTTTTCGAATGTAAAAACTTCGGGAAACAAAAACAATAATATTTTAGACAACACAGTTGAAACTGTTTATGCACGTTCTAAAGTGGTGAAGTATGGTGGGTCAGAACCTCACGAAAAAATAAGTAGGAAATCTAGTAACATAAACAAAAATAACAATGTTACTAACAATGACAAAGCAACAATTATTGTAGCTGAATCTGTGGATAGTCCTGAAAGTTATAAATAAATAATAATTGTACAACGTTTATTTTTAACCACTCTTTTTAATTAACTTTAAATACAAATTCGTGTTAGATTTATGAAATTCAATGTGAAGTTGGAAAAATGTGCATATGCATAATATATGGAGATCTGTCGATATGTTAAGAGTTAGGTAAGACTATATTTTCGGATTATTTCGCGGATTTATTTAGGTTTTTGATTCTCGTCGTTTCAAATGCTTTACAGCAATCATGGTCACGGCAGAGACCTACACGCGAAAAGATCCGAAAAGATAGGTTTAATTTAACTTTTTTAGCTATGTATATAGCTAAGAAAGTATTAAATATCCTAATTTCTAAACCAACAATGATAAACATGTGTATAATATAATTTGTATGTTTTTGCAAATATTCAGATCGCAATAACTGTTTTTGTTTGGCTTTCTAATATTTTAACTTAGAGAAAATAAAAAGTTTCATCAAAATCAGTAAGCGCCTTTTATCGGCTTACTGTCTCTTACTTTCAGAAGCAATGAAATTTTAATTAAAATCGAATCAGTAGTCTAATTACGTATTTTAAAAAACTGAATGACAATATAATAATTTGACACCATTGAGCTCTGTGCTAGAGTCTATCTGTCTGCTTGTTCCGGCTAATCTCCAAAACAGCTAGACCGATTTTACGTGAGCGTGAGATGTGGCTTTCACTGGCAGGTAGCTGATGTTATATGAAGTAATTTAGGCTACTTTCATTTTAGAAAAAGAAATAGGGCCAAAAAAAATTTAAGCCCATGAAATTCTAAACAAAATCCGCGTACCTAAGACGCTAGTTAATTTTTTGGAAATAAAAAAAAAAATAGGCAAAGACAAAGCAGTACCTTTCTCTCGTCTGTTTGTATATTCTGTTCATACATAATGTTTTACTTAAATTTTCAATGATCATTATGGTTTAATTTCGGCCACTTTTTATTTAGTTATATTCACGTAGGTTTGTTTCCAAAATATGAAAACAATTTTAATTTTAAACTAAAATGAAAAGCAAATTTGATAGGCAACTGCAAGTTTTATTAATATAATGTAAAATATAAATAAGTAACAAATATATATTTTTTCCTTTATTGTCATTAACAGTTTTACATATTTTTTTAAATGAATACATATAAAAATCACTGACATTTATGTAATGCTATATTATTCGGTACTACGAGTAAATAAATTACATATTAGCGATAATTTAAATTGACATACGTTTTTTATTTATGAACCCATTGAAATAAAACAAATACTAAATGTTAAATGAAGCTTACCATAATACGTTAGTGAAAACCGCACCCAAATCAGTTAAGCTGTTCCTGAGATTAGCGCACGAACTCACAAACAAAAAGACAACAATTCGAAATTCATTGGTTTGGGTTCTATAAAGTTAATACATATCTTCCATGTATAGACAGCGATCAGTTACACTTTTATTATATGTTATATAGTACTAATAGTAAATTAATTAATAAATAGCAAACACAGTATTATTTTAATCTTCAACCACATAAAGTATACACAAATTTCTAACAATATAACCAAATTAGCGACCCTTCTACTCTTCGCTTATCAACTTTTCTTAACATTTTATAAATAATATAATGTGTACGTATTCATAAAATCTGTTTTGTTAAAATTTACTATTCACCTTCATGTTGCAAGTAGAGCGTTGGGATTTTAATGTCAGAACAAAGTCAGTGAAGAAGTGAATCTACCACCAGCTCGGGAAGCAGTTCTGCTGTGAGAAGAGCCCAAGAGAAACTCAACAGCTGCTCTTTTATATATTTATGTTCTTCATAGACTTACATACTGACGTTTAATTTAAATTAAAAAAATGGAAAAAAGTCCTTTTGAATAAAGTGATTGGCTTGACATACTCGTAATTATATACTTTGTAGACAGCAACGGCGTGATGGTTAACTTGAAAATCAAAATTTCATACGAAAACTACCACATCGTTGACATCATTAGAAGGTATAAGATTTATAGTAATGCTTGAAATATACGCTTTTGGCTTTTTTACAACTGGTTTTCTTTTGAGTGATGATTTATTATCAGCGTCCTTCAATGGTAAAACTACATTGGGAATAGGTAATGACGTCGGAGATGGTAGTTGAGGAGGATTTAACATATATATAGGCATTGCTACAGGAATCGATGTTTCTGAATAAATAGACGATGGTACGTCATTTTGAATGCTAGCAATAATTGGGCAATCTGTTGATATTGGTGATATAGCTGGGTGTGGTTTTATATTTGAGTCAAAAAGTGCAGATAATAAGCCTGTTGTGAAATAACAGATTATATTATTTAACGATTCTGTTAATGGGGAACTGTACAAATTTGTTTTAGTCAATTTAGGGTTTGATGGGCATGGTTTGCTTGATGGGCATGGTTTGCTTGCAGGTGAACATGGTACAGTAACAGGACTTACATATTCAGGAGATTGTAAAACTGCCTGGTTACTTTTAACCGGTGTGATAACATAGGTCAAGGGTTTTGCATTATTTTGATTTATGCACTTAGGTTGATAGGGTGATATTTTGTCAATATTTCCAAATAATGGCACCAGTAAGTTCAGTTTTTCGCTAGGACGTACCATAGTATTATCAATATTAGGTGGGGTAGATTTAGGGAGTTTCTTATCTAATGAATTGACACAAGAGCTATCAGGCACATAATCGAATAAAGCATTAGACGGATTTAAAACTACATGTGAAGACAAAGGCTGTGACAACGTAATTTCAGGAGTGTACACATCAGGTAGTTGCGATAGAACTGGTACTTTAGTAATATACGAAGGAGCTGTATAATAGGTTGATATGGGTGGAATACTATTTGGAGAATTTGTGCCTACCAAATATTTACTCATAACATAACTATTAGGATTAAAATTTACTGAATATTTTGTCACTGTCTCTGGGATCGTTTCATCTTTTACACAATTATACGTATCAGCAACCTTATAAAGTATTGATGATGCAGGTGAAAAGTTAGTACCAGGAGGTGATGTTGATATTTTAGAAGGATTAGTATAACCATTAGGAAGATATACTTTAGGCATTTCTTTGGCACCATAATAATAAGTCCCAAACGATGGTGTTTGAGATGGCACGTAATTTAATGTGCAGACTGGTTTAGCATTAGCAACGTTCTTGATGTTGTCATAATCGCTAATTCTAACGTTGCAAGGCATTGCATTTACTTTATTGGACTCAAATTTTACTGATGGTGTAACAGTTAAGTCTAAAGTATTTTCAATAGGTGCCAAATTTGACTTTGTGTACATTTTGTCACCTTTACTCTCTGCATGTATAGCATTTATTACTGGATTTGAGTCCGCTGAAGAGCCACTGCGAAATACGATGCTATCAACTGGATATAATACTTTGCTTATTGTATTGGGTTTCTCAATCAATTTTACGTTTTCAATACATGGAGTATTTTTATCGATACGTTTTTGTGTGTTTACTATTTGTAGTAAATTATCCAACACATCAGACCCAGCAACGTTATCTTTAATTTTATTCAAATTATCTTTTTGAATATATTCCCAGTCTGAAACAAATTTTGGTTCTTCCAATTTTTGTATAACTGGATTAAGAGAATTCCTCTCTAACTGAAGGTTTATTTGCTTATTACAATCTAAGTATTGTGGTGGTATGTTCACCTGGTTTGCTTTATTAGTACTGTATGGCACATCATTGAGTCCTATATGAAGAGAAGATTCTAAATTTACTACATTATTATTTTTATTATTGTCAAAATTATTTACAATTAAAGGTCTTACTTTTGGTGAATAATTATTCGAAATTGTATCATCTTTTATAATATTACTCTCCACATTTGAAAAATTTATTGGCGGTAATTTTGATACTTGTGTCGTTGCAATATTTGTACTGGAGCTTTGTATTTTTATAGGATGTTCTATTCGGTTTGTTGATTTTGTTTGCCCATCAAATGTAGGTGAAGGTGAAGAATTCGAAACGGTTTTAAATTGTGCATTTTTAGGATTTGTTGGAATTACAGATTTTAAAACTGATTGTTGTAGGGGTGATTCTAGTGATGTTTTTGGGGAATTAACTATTTCAATAACATCGACAGTCTTGGTTGGCGTTTCAGCATTTTCTGAGTTTTCAAGCGATAATAAACCCTCCTTTGGGCTTGTTGGGACAGATTTGTACGTTAAAAATGTAAATGGAAGAGTTATGCCATCTGGTTGAACAAAAGCTGCCTGGAAATAAAAATAAAGTTATTAATAATATATTTTTCCTATTTCTAAATGTAACTGAAGCAATAATATCAATTATGAATAACAATTATATAGTGATATAATTTATTCTTATCATCGTTTCCTAATAAACGAACATTTTACTTTTTTGTATGATAGTTATCTAAATTGGGAAATTTTTATTATTAGAATTATTATAGAACATATTTTATAAAAAAATTAAGTTATATAATAGTATTACAATATAAAAAAAAATAACCGTTTGGTAAAGGAAGTAAATATACACAAAATTACCACGTAGACGTTGTTTTAAGGTTTCACGATCAGTCTTTATTCCACCGTTTTGCCTGTGTATATTCAAACACTCATCAAGAGACTGAGAACGGCGGCCAATCTCACATAGGCTAGCCAACTGCAGGAGATATTATAGTACACTAATATGTGCAAAGCATAAGATCTCTCTACCTTTTACTCACAAATCAGCATGGTGGGTGAGAAATCGGCCGACCGTTCGCGTGCTCTCCAAGATACGCGGGCGAAACACTACACCAACTTTCCTACTAAGATTTTTTTAATAGAAATACTTAATAACTTAACTTAGCCCGACCCCGACCCCGAACCCAGGACCGTCGGATCTTCCGTCGTACTAACAATTAAACAGAGAGTTAAATTATATACTTTATTAATATTATATTTACCTGACACACAAGAAAAAACAACAAATAATCCACTGACATATCGAAAAGTACTCGGGCGAATGCGTAAAATCTGATTTCGAGCCTAAATTTTAACCCTCTTATCGACTCAAATTGTATTTACTCGTAACATTTCCAAAGAAACGAGGTTATTTCATAAGGTTATTGTAATTATTTATTTTATGTTTACTACATTTACAAATCCAATGCTAAGCCGTAAAAGATAACGTTCACACTAATACCAGTGATGGTTCCGTGGTCGAAAATGGATCATATTTCATTAATTTTGAAAGTTTTCCTTTGACAAAGTTACATATGGAGTTAGCATGTAACTTTCTTCAATAAATCTATAGGAAAATCTTATTGAAATAGTCGTTATTATCGATACAGAGGCCTAATCTATAGTTTTTTAGAATGTTTGTCTGTCTGTAGGTATGTCTGTGTGGGAACGCATCACGAGAAAACCACTGGACAGATTTTGATTAAATCCGGTATAATGATAGCTGGTTATCCGGTTCAACATATTGGATACTTTTTACTGCTGGTATATATCTTATCTCTGAGAAATCATAAAATAAAAAACCTTGTTGAGTTGTTTCTTACTTTTCAATCTTCATAGTAAAACTATAGGTATTTTATACATACTGGTAAATTAAGCTGCTTACTTCATCTTTGTATCAATATGTCAAAGGAACAACTTATCGAAGGTATCGGGACAAAAGGAATCTATAACGACACTCTCATAATCTCAAAGCTCCAAAGCTCGTAAATCTACATATATGAATATTACGTCGAAACCCTCCATTTCTATGTTGAGGATGAAAAATAACAAAATACTTTTGCTTTTATTATATTGTTGAAGCAAGAATATATTAGAATGAAAACGTATATCGATTGTAAAATAACTTTAAATTAATTCTATACCTATGGGTGGAGTTTTGAGGAAATTTTTATTGCCTTTGGGCTGGAGTATCTCCTCTTTGATGTCGGTCAAAAATATTCCATACTTCCATATAGATATTATAAAGTTGAAAGTGTACTTGTTTGTTTGTGTTTGTTTGTTAGTTTGTTTGTTTGTTTGTCCTTCTTTCACGTCTAACCAGAGTGAATGATTGGCGTAATTTTTTGCATGGAGATAGAGAGCTGGAGAGCGACGAGAACTTTTTACCGCGAGAGATTATCTCATTCCCACGAGAAAAAAAAACGTTATAATACAACATCATAACAACTCATCATACCTATGTGTATATATATAACAGTTTTTTTTAATAGATATAATAATTTTATTCATCTAATTCAATTTTATTATAGATTTATTACAGATGAGATATTTTCCCGCATAAAAAACTATCCCATATATTGACCCGAATAACCAGCTATCATCATACCAAACTTCATCAAAATCAGTCCAGTGGTTTTGTTGTCACGCGTTCCCAGATATACAGACAGACAGATAAAAATTCTAAAAACTATTATACGGCCTCTGTATCGATAATAATGGCTATTTCAATAAGATTTACCAAAAAATATTTAATATACAGATTCAACACAGAATTTTATTATATGTAATAATATATTTGCGTCTTTTCAGTAATATTTATGATCCAATTTCAATCACTGGACGGACAATAGTAATATCATAGTACGAGTAACTCTGTCAATTTAGTAATATTTCTATAAGATTTTGTAACTATATTATCTCTTTAACAAATTAACTAACATTACATGATAATATAATAGATAATTAAAAAGAACGTGATCATATTTTTTTAAGAAAATACTTATATTTAAGCAATAAGTTGCAGAAGGGCAAGATAAAATAAAATATAAAACCTTTTTTTCCAAATAATAACTCATTAACAACTTCATCTTCGTTTAATTATAACGAAAGAAAAAAACAAAATGGCCGCAAGATTCCTTGTATTTGTTGCTATTCAAGGAATATTATTACAGGTAAAAAATATTATATATATTGTATTTTTTTAATAAATAGACTTTACTTAGAGGGTTATTCTAAACACCTCCAACCCTTTATAGGTTATATAATATTAAAAATATTAATATTTTTCCAGTCTGCCTTCAGTCAGTGTATCAACCGTGTGTTGCCAGGATGCGGTCCGGGGGTTGTTGATGGTATACTGCCAAACCAGTACCTCATCAGAGAACCTGGCTTGCCAATCCTACCTGCTATACCTCCTGCATACCCCACAGTAATTCCTGGATCAATTTTACCGGAAGGCTTAGGATATGCTCCAACCATCATCCAAGACAGTAGTGTGGCCAATAGCCTGGCCAACGCTTTACAGTTACTAGTTGTCAGTAGCCTACTAAGTACTACTTTGCCAGGTGGACCTTGTGACTTGCCCTGCCCCATCGAATATTTGGGCATGCCAGCTTATAATTATAATTATATTTATTGATTTATATTTATATTTTATATTATTTTATTACGTTATGTTTTGAATTTGTTTAATATTTTTTGTTCAATAAACTATTTTTTATGGTTTTAAATTTTTATTTTTTGTTATAGTCTTTTTTATTTGTAAGCTGCAGGATATTTTCTTGGAAAAGATTCAGTATACATTAATCAATCTAGGTTTTCTTTTTGTTAATTTCAATTGCAAATCGTTTTTGATGAACTCGTTGAGATTAGGCAGTATAAATAGATTTATTTTTTGGTATTGTGCTAAATCAAGATCTGAATCAGCTCAAGAAGGCATTTCTTGCTTGCTACTATTTTTTTTAATCATACAACTAATAATAATAGCTAACTACACCCTATTTTGAATTATTAAAATGTTAAAATTTATAAATTATTGTAAGGTTCTTCGTATCATTTTTCTTTTTCTTCGAAATTATTGTACAACAAAAAAATAAAAAAAATTGTATGCATATATTTATACGTATTACAAACGTCTACCCGCAAAATTGTGCAATATTTGGAAGAGAAAACAGAATTAACATCAAAGCGCCTTACAATCTTACACATAAAAAAAACTTAATAAAAAAATAAAACCGACTTTAAAAAAAAGCACTAAAACGTAAAAAATAACTGATTGGTAGTGTCATTTACTATACATACCTAATCAAATATATTCGAAGTCGGTGCCAGCCGATACAAAGCAAAGCACCCCTTTTGAAGCACCACACTTTTTGAAGTCGGTTTTTATTTTTCCCTTTTTTGTGTAGACAGTAGTAGCAAAGTAAGAAGAAAGTATTTTAATAAAATATTCGCTTAAACCGTTTAAGTTACTTTGATGTCAATTTTTATACGAAGACTTACAAACTAAAACTCGCTTTTATTAGTAACACTAAAAATTCTGGTTCTAAAATCCGATTTTAAAGTGTTAGGCTTACCAAATCAAACAAAATAAGCCTAAATTCAAAGTATCTACTATTAGTCGTTGAAGAGTTCCACCTATCCACCTTCTGGGCTTACCATCAGATCAGGTCGACGATACCGAATCACTGCACTATCAACGGAAATAGAAACACTTGCAAAGTTTCAAGTTATTATGATAATTAGAAGTAATTATTTTTCCACCCTTAGGGGTGGTAATTTTTTTTGAAATTTTAATGGGACCAATCTGAAAGTATACACTTTCAAACAAAACAAAAATTGTCCAAATCAGTGAATAAATGATGCAGTTCCGAGGTAACAAACAAAAAAACATACAGCCGATTTGAGAACCTCCTCCTTTTTGAGGAATTCGGTTGAAAATGTAACGAATCGCTGTCTGTACATGAACGATATATGAGAAAAAGTATTATTGGCACCTTTATCAACTCAAATAGCACCCAAAACAATGATTGTTAGAATTTTTGTCTGTTTGTCTGTTTATATGTGCGTTTTTGCACGCTAATCTCAGAAACGGCTTAACCGATTTAGTTTGGGTTTCACTAATATATTGTGGTAAGTTTAACTTAACATTTAGTGTTTGTTTTATGTCAATCGGCTCATAAATAAAAAAGTTATGCCAATTAAAAAAACTATAATAAAACTGTAGAATGTTTGTACATAGAAAAAAATATGCTAAGAACTGAGTCTGAAGAGAAGACTCTCTTCTCATGTAAGAAGAGAAATAGAACGAATCCAGATTTTTTTCCTATTTATTGTTTCTCTGTCTGTTTGTTTGACTAATCTCCGAAACTGTTGGACCGATTTAAACGAAATTTTGTATGATGGGTACCTAATATCCCCGGTCAACATATTAGCTACTTTTCATCTCGGAAGATTAACTCCTACTTTCTTTCTAGCTTTCCTTACATTGCATATTAAATCGTATAACACACACACTCACGTATCTTATCCTATTTTTGACCTGTTCCTTTAAAGACCAAGTTTTTTACCAATCTGGTAGTAGATTCGTAACATCTATTATCCAAATATAATATTTCATGCTGAAGAAAAATCTGAATTTGAATCCGTATTGCATTCATGGAAGATCTATTGGGGCGTTAAAGAGGGCTGAATATTATTTGCTAGTGTTGGCCAGTGGTTGAAATTCGAGCAAAGTCATTATTGAAAATTTAAGTAAAACACATATATATGAACAGAATTTACCTACGTATATAAAAAACTGTTTTTTTTTTTTTATTGATAACACTAAAGCGACTCAAAAAAGGATAATCGGATAAATAGAGGAAATAAAGGCACTGAATTGTTGTGTCTTTGCTTATTTACATATAGATAATCAATTAAATCTACAACTATAACTCAAACTCAGGATCTTACGATCTCCAGCCTTATACTATACTAGCATTGCCCGCGGCTCCACCCGCGTTCATATGACCAAAACCAAATTCTTAGGTTTTATATATTAGTATACTCGTATTAGTATATTAGTTGACCTGGATAACCAGCTATTACCATACCAAATTTCTTCAAAATCCCTCCAGTGATTTTTCTGTGATGAGGTCGCAGACACAGACAGACAAAAATTCTTAAAACTATAGGTTCGGCCTCTGTTAGCGATAATAATGACTATTTCATTAAGATTTTCTAAAAAATATTTAATGTACAGATTTGACTTAGTTATAATTTTATTATTTGTATAGATATCCATTAAATTAACGAGGTAAAATACATTAATTATTTAAATGAAGCCACAGTAAATAAAATACATATTAACAACGCTTCCAGCTACGGCTTTATTACAGATTTCTTGTAAATAAATTGCCTTCGGCTATATTTGATCCTGATTTGGAAAATTCAGTTTTATTAAATGTAACGAGTTTTCTACGAATAACACGTCCCGCGACATGTACGATTAAAGGCTTCAGGCTAAAATAGATTTATTCATAACTAGCATTGCACGCGGCTCCGCCCACGTTCAGATGACCAAAAACCAAATTCTTAGGTTTTACATATTAGTACCCTTACATTGTAGTTTACAGTTTTTGTATTTTTTCTCAGAAATGAGACATTTTCCCGCGGTAAAAAAGTATCCTATATGTTGACCCGGATAACCAGCTATCGCCATACCAAATTTCATCAAAATCCCTCCAGTGGTTTTTCTGTGATGCGGTAACAGACAGACAGAAAAAATTCTAAAAACTATACACTCGGCCTCTATATCGATGATAAAGTTTATTTCAATAAACTTTTTTCCCCGATTTGTGTTCACCTTGTGGTAGTGAGGGGGCTTATTACCGGCAATCAAGCCAGGCGTGAAGCCAAGAAAAGCACTGGAAGGCGCGTGGTGTACCATGCGGGTTGTTCCTGGTACTTTTATGAGAGAGTGGACCGGGGGAGCAACTTCTTAGTTTTGTGGTCTGTTTCGTCAGGCATTCCGTCGGGGAAACCTGGTGGAGTATGTAAGCGATGCTAAGGCGTCTCATTAAGGGAGGTTCTGTGGGGTTTAAGTGGGTAATGATTTTTATGGCCGGTGAATCCTACATGACCACCTGTATGTAAGCAGGTGGTATGCGTAAATATATTTCCCAACGTTAAAAAATGGTTTAAAATGAGTTTACTGTTTAATCTCTGAAATGTTGTTTCCGAATTTAATTTTCAACATTTTCATTCATTACATATGCCATGTCAGAGGAGTCCGCTATGAACATCCTCTGCTAGTGCGGGCCTCTCATGCACAGCAGAAGCATCCATCTAGGGCAGCACCGGTGGTAGGACAGGAGGTATACCAATAAAGCTAGTTATATATATATATATACGCACACACATACACTACGCCGTGAGAGATACTAGATGAACACCGGGCGTAAGGTCGAAAAAATATCCCGATTGTCTATGTGTCTACGTAACAATTAGTAGTAAAAATTCACCGATGGTAGGACTCTGTCAAGCCTGAAGAGTCCGACTGGATGGATACCACCCCCTTATCTATTTCTCCCGCCAAGCAACATTGTTGTGTTCTGGTTTCAAGGATAAGGTGGCCAGCGCAATTACAGGCAAGAGGCATATCATCTTAGTCCTCACAGTGACAACGCACTTGCGGTTCTGCATTTTTGTTAAATTAAACCTAAGCGCATGAACCGTAGGTGATATGGGCGACACGTACTGCTTTCCATCAGGTAGTCTGTCTGCTCGTTTGTCACTGAACACCATAAAAAAGCATGTTATATAATCAGAGGAGATACAGAAGGTCTCCTCTCAGAAGATCTGGAAGCTCCTGGAATCAACAGGACTAAGTGGAGAACTCAAAATCTACTAACAAGGGAGCCACAAAGGATCAATACTGGTTTAAGTAGCAATGGACCAATCTCAGCACCACAACCCTCTATTAAATAATACTCAATTCACTAATTAGTACTAATTGATAATTACATACACAGCGAATAAAGACAACAACAATGATAGGATAAAAGTAACAATTTGCCAGAAAGTTTCAATTATTTTGGCATGTTTTTTTTCTAAAACTATTTATGTGAAACCTTTTTGATGTATAGATAACGATAACCAGACGTGTTCGATAAGATCGATAAGAGATGAAAGATAAAGTAACGTATATTAATAACAGTATGCATTAACTATGGCATTGGTATTTAGAAAATAGTCACAATGACTTCGAAATTATTACAATTTTTCTTGACGCAATTCATAATTTTAAAGGTAAATTTTGTAAATAGTTACTAAATATTATCTGAATAGCGGCTGACCCTCGCTTCACTCGGGTTCATCACAAGTGAAAAATAAAAACAAATGTATCCCACGGGAACCGTTCATTTTTCGGTATAAAAAGTATCAAGGCAATGTTAGCCCAGTGATAACGCGCCCTCTTGGGAATCCGAGTGAAGCGAGTTCAAATCGCGGGTCTCGCACCTCTGATATGTTCATGTGCGAATCATTTCCAACATGATTACCACTTGTTTTAACGGAGAAGGAAAACATCGTGAGGAAACCTGCATGTCTGAGAGAACCTAGCAAGTTTTCAAAAGACATGTGAAGTCCGCTAACCCGCACTTGGCCAGCGTTGTGGACTATGGCCTGATTCCCCTCGTATTAAAGGGAAGCCCGTGCCCAGCAGTGGGACATTAAAAAAAGGGCTGAATACAAAAAGTATCCTATGTGCTATTTCAGACTATATTCTATCTCTGTGCCAAATTTCATCCAGATCTAGATCTTATTTTGTTACTTTAATATTAAAAAAATAATACCTTCTTTTCAGACCATATCATCATATAATATTCAACCGTATTCAGCAAAACAGTATGGTCCTGCACCTCGTCAAAGTCCTCAAAGGCTACCTTCTTCATACCCATCCCAATTTTATTCGCCAGATTACAAAGCTTACTATTCCCAAAACTACCCATCTAGTTACTATCAATCATATCCGAAACCTCCCGAACCGATTCCAGTTCCAGTACAAAGGCAAGAAATTGTAAGACAAAATCCTGTAATTGAATCACAATTCGCAGCACCAAGTCCTGTGTCAAAATTCGAAACCCTTAAAAAATGTTCAGGCAAAATAGACTCGCAGGTCTTGAACAATTTAGCAATTGCATTACAGCTGTTAATCGTAAACAACATTATAAATAATCCTCCAGAATCTCTAGATTTTACACCTATCAGCGAAACTATTATGGAAATAGCATTTCCAAGTGGAAAGTATGCCAATAGTTTTGAAGCAGTGCAAGTGCCAAATTCAAAATTTTTAGGCTCATCTAGTTTTGGTCAGGATATAATCTCGTCATCTATGCTTGGTTCCTATGGACTCACAAGTCCACCGTCACCACGAGCTGGTCTAAATTTAATGTCACCATACGATGCCATAGCAAAAAGTACACCGATTTCTGAATCACTTTTATCATCTTTCGTAGCTAAAAATGATTTTCAAAGTCCTTACGCAGCTATAATGGCTGCTGACAACAATAAAGACTTATTTTCGATTTCTGAATTATTTTCGTAGAAAGTTAAGGTCTGTTATTTGTTGTTTTAGAGTTACATATATATTATTAAAATGATTTTGAAGTTCTAGATGATATATTATTTTTTCTTCCTTCTTTGGATATGCTGCTTTGCGCAACAAATTATATTTTGAAGTTGGTCGTAGTTGTAACAACATATAAAACATTTACAGACGGGAAAAAGCTTATCACTTAACTAATATTTATTTTATTAATTTTCTGACTTTAGAAGGCTAAAATTTTTCAAAAAGTACAATTCATTTCTTTCGTTTCGTGGCTTCTAGGAGTACCAGTTGAGCACCATTTAGTTATTTTAAAAAAAAAAATATGTATCACGTGACATATCCGACAGACTAAATAGATTATTATTGAGCTCTAAATTGTCATAATTCTTTTTTGTGAATCCTATTTTAGGATAAATTTTAGGAGAAAATAATTATTTTGAAGTGAATTTAATGCTAGTCTAATCTTTCCTTATAAAAGTAATGGATCGGCTCTAGATATAAGCATTTTTATCCTAATATAAAAAAAATAGTATTTTAAATAAAACTGTCTTTTGTAATTTTGTCGATTTATTTTGATTTTTGGTTCCCGACATTTCTTTATTCTATAGTCTATTACAAGAAGTTACTAAAAGACGGGTTGCTATATAGAAATTAATATGATTTTTTGATGAAGTATGCAGGCTATCCCCCGTACATTATTATTGGATTTTAACAGTATCAAAATTCAATTCAATTGATTAAGCAAATTGATAACTAATCTATATTAATATTATGTTTGTCTTTGAAATTCGTATACTTTTCATATGTTGATTCATAGCTATAAAATAGATGAACACATTTTTATCAAAAATATCATGTAGGAATGACGTCGATTATCCAAGACCAGAATCTGTAATAATTCTATTTATTTTCAAACCCTTATGTCACCTAACATAACAAATTGATATACGAACTTGTAACTCAACTAATTTTTCATTGGAGTTTATAAATATTTAAGGAATTAAAACTGTCTCAACGACCCTAAAAATTACTTTACTTTGTCAAAAACATTATTTTCTATAATAAGTTTCTTGAGCGCTAGATTTCCATATCTATGATTTTTTTATAAATTTTAAAGCGTTAAAAATGCCTTGTCAAACATATTTGTAACATATTTATCGCATTTTGTGCAACATTTTCTTCATTTCGTTACATGTTGTGATTCTAACATATATATAAGTTCAATGTGCTAGCAAGTCATTCAGTCAACAGCATGGAGCTTTATATTATTATTTTGTTACTCGCAGTCTTTTTCTACCAGGTACGTGAAAACTCTACATATTTGCATATTTAAAAAAAACTGTCGACTACAGTATTATCCAAATGATCAAAAAAATTAAATAATAACTATAGTACATAAATTTCATTTTAGGTACAATCACAAATATGCGTGGGACCTGGTCAAGTAATTGCAACCCCTCAAATTGTAGCTCCACCGGTGGTAGCAACAACTATTGTCGACAACTCAGTGTCAAACGCTTTAGCAAATGCGCTACAACTCTTAATAGTAAGTGACCTGATTCAATCAAGACTGGGATCTAAGAATTGTATTAACGGCTTAGGACCAGTTATTGACGCCATAGTTCCTGGATATTCGCCCATAGTAGATGTTGTAACACCCTGTGTAAGCTCCGTAGATGTTGTGTCCCCATGTGGACCAGTAATAGATACGTTCATCCCTAATTACTATGGAGGCATAACAGAGACTATTAGACCAAATATTTTCGGAGGTTATACTGAAACAATATGTGCCAACCCATGCGGAGTTTGTGAGACCATCACACCTAACTATTACGGTTGTTGGACAGAAACGTGCACGCCTAACTTATGCGGCGCCACCGAAATCGTTAGCACCAACATAGGTTATCCAAATATAGCAACTCTGACACCCAACATATATGGTGGTATTACCGAGTGTATATCTCCAGCGCCATGTGTACAACAACTTCCTTTCTGTGCAGGAGTTAACGAAATTATTGTACCACCTTGTGGACCTAACTACTATAATGATGTAGTTGAAGTGATTTCACCATGTGGACCAAACTACTATGGCGGAGTAGCTGAATATATTTCAAATCCCTTCTATTGTGGATTATCAGAAGTTGTTTCTCCTTACAACCCTGGGTGTTTAGGAGGTATTACCGAAATTGTATCAGGAAATCCTTACGCACCAAACTTCTGTGGAAATGTTATTTCCCCTTGCAATTCTATTATAAGCTGTTTACCTGAAGTGAGAACTCCATCTTGTGGAACATTCTATGGTGGTATTAATGAGTTTTCTCCATTTAATTGTGGTTGCTTTGGGGGAATCCCCGAAGTTATCTCTAACCCGTATATACCCAATTATTTTGGGGGAGGGCCATGCTCGCCCGTTGCTGCTGAAGTTTTAATACCCTCAGCTATTCCCGCACAACTTACATGTAATTTTGGATATATGCCAACAACAGTTCCTTGTGTTAGTGTGAACGTAGAAACGCTACCATTTGAAAATTGTGGCTGTGGATGTAATGGGTATCCCAGGGGAATTTATTACTAAGTTATATCTAAGATGTTAAATATTATTTAAAAATAAAGAATAAATTAATTTAAAAAAAAAAATTTTTCTTTCATCAAGATGTGTCTCGTGATCTCAAATGATGCTGTTTATTAACTCAAGCAGGGGATAGGTTCTGACCTAGCAATAGTCAAATACAATTCTCTAATTTTTATGGAGAGTTCGAGATTTTGAGCCACTGCCTCTGACTTTATATTGGATTCAACTCAGTTCTTTTAGTATCTTCTCCATAAAAAGAACGCTGTAAATTACTATAGTATACAACATACTTAAGTTTTAATAAAGATAATAATGCAAGAAAATTGCTGAACTAGCATGCCATAGCCGTAGTTGTAATCAAACAAATGCATACAAATAAAACAACAAAAAATTCAGTATATTCTATATAATTTATTAAAACTAATAATTTACACTAATTAAACATATTCATATAATTTCCAAATAACGCATTATTATTTACATTAGGCACCAGATTGGGAGCAACAGGTAATACAGAATTAAAATTAGATGGAACAACAAAATTTGGTAAAAAGTTAGAAGGTATAAGGTTTGGAGATGCAAAGTTTGGTGGTTTCACGAGTGGGTTTGGACATCCACAGGAAAATGTTGGTAAAGAAATAACATCAGAAATTAATGGGGATGCTAATTGGGCAGCTAGTTCTGAACCTTCTCGAGTGTTCCGTAGCAGATTACAAACAATCATTAGCTGTATAGTATTTACTAGGTTTTGGCAAACTGATGGAGAACAGTCTGTGATGATAGTTGTTGGGCTAGAAAAAGAGAGGGGTGGTACAAAATTTGGGTTTTCGATCAAAGTAGGTTGTACCAGCGGTGGACTGATGGGGGCCTCCACTATGCCTTCTGGTCTGTTGAAAACCACATTGGCTTGCCTGTTCAAGCATTGTGAAGCGGCCATCTGAAAAAAAACGTAGATATTATATTTTATACCTGACTTTAACTGAGAGAATATTTTATTAGGTTCTTTTATAGAAATAAGAAAAGGGTTTACGTGTAAAATATGAAAAAGACCTTTTTTGTTGTGTAACATGTATAAGGCGATATCTTGACCAATTCAAAGGATAAGGAGACATATATATTTTTTTTATTTGAAGCCATCAATAAATCTTCTCCTATTAGGAAGACATTAAAAATGATTTCCAAATAAAATCTTTAGTTAAAAAAATAATAATATATAGACAGATATACTCTGTGCACGAGTCCATTTCATACTTTCCTTTTCAAAGTTATAAAATATTATGTTAGAACATTAACACACAACACCATCTAGTTCCATGATAAACTACGAGGCTTATGCTATGGATGTCAGATAGTTGAACACTACACATATAATAACTTAAATACATACATATTATAAATATAAACAACCATGACTGGAGTACAAACATTCGTGCCCATCACAAATGAATGCCCCCAGCGGGACTCGAACCCGCGACTGCTGGTACAGCAAGTAAGGTCACTACAGACAGAGCCAAACGTGTATGAATAATAAATATTAATTTTATATTTATTACTATATTATGGAAAGCACAAACGCAATTTTTTCGTCATATAAAAATGTATTAAATCCCGTACTTTACAGTCAGAGCTCGTTTATCCTCAGAAACTCATTTTTGTAGGATTAAGTGTAAATTACAAAGGATCGAGCCTGAGCTATGAAGGTTAATCCCCGTTTGCTTTTTAATGTTGCCATGTTGCGAATTGTTACCAATATATATTATATAATGTTAAAATGTTTAGAGAAATTATATTTGATTGTGAAAAACTCGCAATTATTAAAAGAAAAGTTTTTAAGGAAAAAGGTTCATTAAATAATTTTAAAAATAAAATTAAATGCGAAAATTTGTGGCAAAATCTGAATGTTTCGTTGCTTGATGCACAATCATGTGAAAAGTCATTTAAAAGATGTTGACGAAAAACACTATTACAAGTTTTGTAAGGGTATAGTTGGACTTTATACCATAAAACACGTTTAAAACAGAAAAAATAATTAAATGTACACTAGAAAAATGCCTCATTTTGGTTGCTATCGAATGGGTAAAAATAACTATATATATATATATATATATATATATATATATATATATATATACCTACCTACCTACTAATTATAAGGAGAAAAAAATGTATTTTGTTTGTAATGGATAAAATAAAAATCCGCTGAACGACTAAGATGAAAGATATAAAGATAGTTGAGACCTTAGGAAGGATATAGATAGCTTTTATCCCGGAAATTGTCCCATATGGGGGTGAAACGGGAAATGACAGGTTGTATGAGTAATCAATAATTTCTCAAGTAAAGGATATAAAACTCATCATACCTATATATATATATATACATAAACTACTACATGTATAGTCTATCTATTCCATACTAAGTACTACGACTAACGACTACGACGAACCCGAGTAAAGCGAGGTTAAGTTACTAGTGTACGGTGCACCATAAAGTAAATGAAGAATCTAAAATATAGATAATCACTAAATATCTAGACAACAAAAAAAACACATATATTAAAAAGCTTACCTGTATTTGCAAAGCCGCTATAGAAATAATTATTAATTTGGACATAGCTTTAAGGGCTAAAGATAAGTGCCTTCCATCTTTAAAAACCAACAGTTTTTATAAAAAAACTTTATTTCATACTTATTCAACTAATTTCATGGGATCGTGCCATATCTGATTTAAAATCGATAGCATTACGTTATCGATAATTAATTATCATATACTCTTATCGATATCTTAGTGATGAGAGAATTCTCGTTTGTCAATTACATAATATTTTAGATAAAATGGAGATTGTGATGCAATAGCTTTTTAGTAACAAAATATTAAGCTGGGTTTGAACAAAAATAAAAATCATAATAGCTTTTTTGCTAAAATGGTACATCTACGTTTATATTGCATTAAATGTCAGCATTCTAATCTTAGAGCTGGTTTTTATTTGAAAGGGACCCTTGTGCCATAGAATAAAGGTTATCTATACATCAATATCTATACATATAATAAAATTGTAACTAAGCCAAATCTGTACATTAAATATTTTTTGGAAAATCTTATTGAAATAAACATTATTATCGATACAGAGGCCGAATCTATGATTTTTAGAATTTTTGTCTGTCTGTCTGTCTGTTACCACATCACAGAAAAACCACTGGAGGGATTTTTATTTTTGTTTTGGTGTGATAGCTAGTTATCCGGGTCAACATATAGATAGATAGATAGATAGATAGATAAATTCTTTATTGCACACACAAAAAAAAAAAAGATTACAGAAGATAAAAATAAAAAACAATAACAAATAGGCATGCAAAGGCGGTCTTATTGCTACGAGCAATCTCTTACAGACAACCTTTGGTGAAAGGATTAGAAGAATCGAAGACGGGACGGTACAATTAACACTAAATACAGACATGATGAACTACGTTTATAAACATGAATACATACAAAAGACAAAAATATATACATACACGTATAATATATATGTACACAGATACATAAATACATACATACATACATATACATAAGATACATAACTACATATGAATACATAGTATATACATATATACTTAATAACTAACAAGACAGATAATAATTAGTTAGACGACGTTTAAAAATATTTAGAGATTTTGAATGGCGAACATCATGGGGGAGCATATTCCATAGCTTTACAGCTTTTACGGTAAAAGAATTACCATAGTAATTGGTGGTGCAAGATGGTAATTTCAAACGGTTGTCGCTCTGAGACCTAAGTTGCAAACCAGACACGTCCGAACCTAGAAAATTAAACCGTTCCTTTAAGTAAGAGGGAGTAGTTGGATTATAAAGGATGGAGAAAAGGATGGAAAGGACGTGCAAATTGCGCCTAAATCTGATTGGGAGCCACTTTAATTGCTTACGGTATTCGGAGATGTGGTCGAATTTACGTAAACCAAATATAAATCTGATGCACATATTCTGCAAACGTTCGAGCTTGTTAAGCTGTTCCTCTGAAACGTCGAGGTAGCAGCAATCAGCATAATCTAAAATTGGTAGCAGTAGTGAGTGAGCTAGTGCAGTTTTAGTTTTAATAGGCAACAGATTTTTCCATCGCCTCAAACAACTTATTGCAGCGAACATCCTTTTACTCACCTCTGCAATTTGCACAGTCCAGGATAAGGAGTTGTCGAAAAACAGTCCAAGGTTCCTGACGGCGTTACTGTATGCTAGGTCGGAATTGCCAAATCTAACAGGGGACAAGGTATTAAAGTCGATCTTGTTGGTCAACTTTTGACTTCCAATAATAATTACTTGTGACTTGATAGGATTAACACGGAGCCCATACGTCGTACTCCAGGAATAAATTTTGTGTAGGTCACTGTTTAACCGTTCAATAGTATTATTGAGTTCACTGGAGGGACCCGCAGCGTAAACCTGTAAGTCGTCAGCATAAAGATGATAGGGACATGAAAGAAGTGTGGAAATTGTATTAATAAATATAGAAAACAGAAGAGGTGAGAGGACACCACCTTGTGGAACCCCAGCTGAGAGAGGAAAGTAGGTGGAGGATTTATTATCAATATGTACACACTGCTGACGACCGTACAGGTAACTGCTAAACCACCTGATGGCGTCGCTTGACACATTAATGGATTCAAGCACAGCTAACAGGAGTTTAAAGTCAACTGTGTTGAAAGCATTACTGAAGTCAAGCAGGGCTACAACGCTAATTAGTTTCTCGCTCATATTAAATCGTATATCGTCGGATACTTTGAGTAAGGCTGTCACAGTGCTATGACCTTTTCGAAAACCAGATTGGTACGGAGAAAGTATGTTGTGCTGGTCTAAATAGCCACTGAGTTGGTTAAACACAATTCGTTCTAAAGCTTTCGACAAAAATGGGAGAATGGAAATTGGACGGTAGTGGGAGAAGCAAGAGGGATTTTTCGTCTTAGGAATAGGGATAATGCGAGCAGTTTGCCAGGTAGAGGGAAATTCATTGGAGGAAAGAGAGAAGTTAAAAATATGGGTAAGTACAGGAGTAATGGTATCAAGAAGTAAGAGGATCATTTTGCGATTTATACCATCACTGCCAGTAGCATCAGATTTAATTGCTAGGATGTGTTTCTTAACCTCGAAAGTGCTAACAGGGGTAAAATTGAACATGGGATGATTAGGACGTGGTGTTGAATGGAGTTGGCTCAGTGTGCGAAGTCTTATATTATTATCCATAGGAGTGACAGAGGCAAAAAATCTGTTCAGAGCATCGAGATCAAGTGTATTGTAAGAGACGCTTCTAGATCTGCGACCAATACCAAAAGATTCTAAGAGCTTCCAGGTTTTGGCAGGATTACCATTATCTATTGCAGTATGGATGTAATTCCGTTGAGCGTCTCTACATACTTTATTGCATCGGTTGCGGAGTCGTTTATACTTCAGCAGATTCTCTTCTGTAGGTTTTAATTTATATTTAGATTTAGCTGCGTTACGTTTAGCCATTAAAATATAGGATACTTTTTATCGGGAAAATGTCTCATTTCTGAGAAAAAATACAAAGACTGTAATGTAAGAGTACTCGTATACTAATATGTAACACCAGAATTTGGTTTTTGGTCATCTGAACGCAGGCGGAGCCGCGGGCAATGCTAGTTTACCTATATTATTACAATACAAATAATATAATAACTAAGTCCCACAGTCCACTGCTGTGCATGGACTTCCCTAATGCGAGTGGGATCACGCAAGGGGCAACTTCACATGGCATTGGAAAACTTGCTAGGTTTTCTTAGAAATGCAGATTTCCTCACGATGTTTTTATTCACGGTAATACATATATTACGTCAGCGTTAGGAAATCATGTTGGAAATTATTCGCACGTGACAATATCCGAGGTACGAGACCCGAGATTGAACCCTATTCACTTGATTATCTAAGCGACCACATTGCCACTGGGCTACTACTGCTTTCAAATTAGACGTACTCGTAGTGTGAAATAAAATCGCGATATGTAATTACATATTGAAATTTTATTTTTGGCTTAGTTATTTCGTAAAATACATACTTACCACTGGTGGAGGGTGAAATTTTAGCAGAGTTAAACCTTTCCAAAAATATACAATTTTTATATACGTAGTACTTCAGAAAGAAATAAAGATATTAACATATATATGTATGTATATATATCTAAAAGAATATATATACATTTAAAAAATTAAATGTATGTAAAATTATAGCAAAATAATGTTAAGGTAAGACGTCTTGTACGGACCCTTCGCCACTGATACTTACATATATTAATTTATTCATTATAGTTATTGTAAAATCGTTGAAGTTTCAAGTCCGCCAATACAACCTTAGCCAAGATGGTGGACTATGGCATGATCCCCCTTGTCTTAAATGTTGATGTTATCTACATATTTTCATTAAATACTTTTTCAAAGTAAAATATAGGAGTTTCTAACTGTTACTTTAGACCGAAAACGTATTATTACTGGAATAATTTATAGCTTACTAGCAGAACCCGCGGCTTCGCTCGCGCTAATACTACAAAAAAAAAACTAAAAAGGTAGGTTTCATACAAACTTTCATCCCCTAATTTACCCCCTTATGGGATGAAGTTCGACAAATGATGAAATTCATATTTATTTAATTGTCTTAAAGAGTATTAATACCAAGTTTCAAGTAATTCTGATCATAAATATTTTTTGGGTTGTAGTAACGTGTTTTCTCGTGGAATAATAATCAACCGCGATAAAATGTAGCCTATGTCACTCTCCAGTGCTCCAACTATCTCCACACAAAAAGTCACGCCTTTCCGTCACTCTGTTTCGACGGGAAAAAAAGACAAACAAACAAATAAACACACTAGCAAACACACATTCACATTTATAATATTTGTATGGATGTTACTTTTAAATAACAGCTTTCTAATGGTTGAGAATCATTAAAATCGATTCAGGAGTTGCAGAGTTTTTCAGTTACAAGCAAACAAATATTTTTTCTTTTTAATTTTAATATTGAAGTATAGATAATATGGAAATATGTAGTAACAATTAATTTTACTATCTAGAACTATATTTTTCAGCGCTTTCGTAAACAAAATACTTATAAAATTATATTGAGCAATGACAATTTTTTTAATAACAGTGATAGTACACGTTTTGTTACTTTGACGCAATTTAATTACCTTTATAATGTGACCTAAAAAAAATTTACCCAATTTTTCAATATGGAATTAAAGGCATATTTTGTTCTATTAGTGAGCATTTTTATCGAAGTAAGTCAAGCAACGATTTATTGATTTTAACTTTTTTTACTACAATATATTTTTTAACAAGACAGTGGGAGCTCAGTGGTAACACGCTCGCTTGGGTAACTGAGTGTAGCGCGTACAAATTCTGGGTCTCGCACCTCTGATATTTTCATGTACGAATCATTTATAACATGATCACCGCCTTACGGTGAAGAAAACATCGTGTGGAAACCTGTATGTCTCAGAGAATCTAGCAAGTTTTCGGAAGACATATTATGTAGTCCGCTAACCCCCACTTGGCCAGCGTGGTGGATTATGGCCTGATCTCCCTCGTACTGAAGGGAGGCCCACCCCCAGCAGTGGGACATTACGAAAAGCTGAATACATATTTTTACCAGTTATTATTCCGCCCGTGTCATAAAGAAGTACCGACATACTATTTTTTTTGCTATGAACCTGTGGTTCTCGACATAGCATTTTGTGTAATATATTTATCCTAATATATACTAATATTACAAACGCGAAAGTTTGTGAAGATGAATGAATGGATAGATGTTTGTTAGTCTTCCACGCAAAAACTACTGAATGGATTTTGATTATAAATCAGAGTATACATAAACTATAATTTTAAACATATAGTAATACATAATTGAACGCTAGTATTACATAAAATGCTTGTTAAACATATCCAAGAAATGCGGTTTTCTTATTTTAAGGTGCTTAAAACTTATAATTAATTAATATAAAATATATAATGTAATAATTATATTTTATCTGTAATTTAATTTGAACATACATTTTTTTGTAAAATACAACTAATTCTATTGTTACTTAGTTAGTTAAATATTGTAATAATTGTCATGTTTTAATTATGTGATTATAATTTAAACCTTATGTATATATTAATTTAGATCATAATTTTCAGACAAAACTTATAAACGCGTTTATTCAGCCATGCTACATGGCAACACCATGCACTCAATTTGAGAGGATCCCAGTAATAAAATGTGTTGAGGAGCCAACATTTAGATGCGGCGAATTAATTTTACCACCAAAATCTATTGAACTTCCGAATGGCTTAGGATTTGGTCCATCAGCTTTACCTGCTGTGGCTGAAGCGTATAATCAAAGATTTTTTGTCAATGGAGGATCATATTATGATTTTTCTGATGCTTACGTACCCGTTTCTTCACCTTGTTCCTGTGTAAAACTGGCAACTCCAACACCTTCGGAGATCAGTTCTTTAGTTTACCCAGTTGTTTTATAGTTTATTTTTGTAATAACAAAATTGTTTGAACAAATAAAAGTTAATTTTAACAAAACGTTTGTTTTCCTGTTTGTAAGAAATGACCCATTCACTAGTATTTAAAGTGTTTTATTTCTTATTTTACGTAGATACATTTTAAAAATTACATTTTTTCCCAGCACATTTTATGTTTTTTTTTAATGATACTGCAACTGTGTATAGTTATTTCGAAATTTTAAAAAGTAATAAAGCAATAATAAGTCAATGTCATTTGAACGTTATCATTTATCAATCATTTGACATTTGTCATTTTTTGTCGGATACGAATTCGAAATCTTCCGGAAACAATTAATTTGGTTTTATAAAAATATTGAATACAAACGTGTAAATAAAATACAAAAATGGTTGAGGCACAGAAATATAGGATTGAACAAGAGATGACAAATCTCGTAAACGAATTAGATAGAAGTTATTTAAGGAAAATGCAAGTAAGTTTTAGGTTATCTCATATCATGTGGGGATTATGCAACATTTAACAAAATAAAATTAAACTATCAATGAAATGAGATATTAAGATGCTTATAGTAATAATAATGTAAAAAAATTAAATGACCTTAACATAATTGGTACACTTTGCAGAATTGTCAGTGCCTTTATGCAGCAACATGTTAGAAGTGAATAGAGATTATTTTTTTATATTATTGTTAATATTTTAGGGTGATATGCACAGATGTGCGGCTAAATGTTGTGATGATCCACAGTCTTCTTTAGAGAGAGTGCATGGCTGTATAGAAAGATGTACAGCCCCACTGAACCAAGCTAATAATTATGTACAAGTAAGTTTTACCTTTCAAGATAAACCTATTAATATTGTAAATGCGGAAGTTTGGATGGATGGATTTTGCTAGTCAATCACGCCAGAACGGCTGAATGGATTTGAATGGAATTTAACACAGAGATAGATTAGGTATACTCTGGAATAATACATAGGTTACTTTTTATCTTGGAAAATCTATGGTTCCTGTGGAATAGACAGGGACAAATCCGAGTGAATAGATGGTGAGTTATAACATTATAATTATATATAATACTAACGACTCATCCTCCATTTGCTCGGATTCATTCCTAGGTAATTCTCCATACAAACTTTCATCCCCATTTTCACCCGCTTTAGGAATGATTTCCGGGATAAAAAGTAGTCAGTAGATCCAGAGATTACCCTCTACAACGTCACAAACTTACCAAGTTTATCTTTTTATAATATTAGTATAGAATATAGATATATAAATATGTAAGAATTATTATATTTATCAATTTAGTTTAGATTTTAGAGATAATTCACTACAAACAAAATATTGTACTTATTTAAAATTATCTAAGTTAATAATGTTTATTTTAGAATGAAATAAATCATCTACAAAATAGACTACAAAGGTGTGTGATGGACTGCAATGATTCAGCCCGAGACAGATTAGGTCCAGATCCCAGCCAAGAGACTGTAAGTACTGTTTGAAAAATAAAAGCAATTAGCAATATCCATACTAATATTATAAATGTGAAAGTGTGTTTGTTTGTTTGTTCTTTTTTCACTTCGAAACGGAATGACGGATTGGCGTGAATTTTTTGTGTGGAGATGTTGAAGAGCTGGAGAGTGACATAGGTTACTTTTTACCGCAGGTGAGTATCTAATTCTTACAGGAAATTATGCTATAATACAATCCAAAAAAATATTTATGATCCAAATTATTTGAAACTTGGTCTTAATTATATTTAACGCATTTTTCGAAATTCATCCTATAAGGGAGTAAAATAGGGGATGAAATTTTGTATGAAACTACCTTTTTAGAGATTTTTTTGTAGTTTTAGCGGGAGCAAAACCACGGTTTGTGCTAGTTTTATGTAATTCAGTGATTAGTAATGAAGTGATGTACACATAATATGCAGTTTACAATTTTAAGTTTGTTTTTAAATATTTTCAATTGTTTTGAGAGCTTTTATGTTTTGTTTTATTTTAAACACATTACTTATCAGATGTAATCAGTTATTGCACTAACTTTAGTGAATTTTCATAGTTGTTTTCCTAAATAATAGTTTCTTCATCAATCAATCATCAAAATCACTAACTATTTAATATATAAATAGGCAAAGACAAAACAGTTCAGTACCTTTTACTCTTGTTTGTCAACCAATTTTTTTTGTTAAGTATCTTTATTGCTGTAGTGTTATCAATAAAAAAAAATCTATAATGATTATGGTTGAACTTCAACATCTAGACATAATATACATTAGTAATATTGTATTCAGCTTTTTTTAACATTCCACTGCTGGGGGTGTGCCTCCTTTCAATACGAGGGGGACAAGTGCGGGCAGACTCAACATGTCTTTTGAAAACTAACAAGGTTCCCTCAGTCATGCAGGTTTTCTCTCGATGCTTTTCCTTCACTGTGAGACAAGTGGTAATCATGTTGGAAATGATTCACACATGAATGTATCAAAGGTGCGAGACTCAGGATTTAAACCCGCTTAATTCGGTTACCACTCGGCTACCACTGCCTGTAATAATATTAATACCTCAAAAGTCTCACATTACTATATAATTATAATAATTAATAATAAGAAAAAGTTTCATTGCAGATTGATAAATGCACAATACAATTTGAAAAATGTGCAGTGACATGTGTTGACAAACACATAGGCCTGATACCCGGTATGATGAAGTCCATGAAGAAAGTTCTGGCCAGCGGTAAACCTCCTCCACAGAGCAGTGAATAAGACATTTTTTTTAACTATTTTTGTTTTAAATGGCGGAAATGTTTATTATATATATGGAAACGAAATACCAGACTGTGTTTAGTTTTTGCTGATATAAGAGTTTGTTCTTACATTTTATTTTATATCTGTATTATTATAATAATGTTTTTTTTTCCTCTTTATTTGATTGACAGATGCGGTTTTATCTACATATTGTAGGATCTTTATATATACTTTTATACTAATATTCTAAAGAGGAAAGATTTTTTTGTTTGTTTATACTGAATAAGCTCCAGAACTATTGAACTGATTTAGATGAAATTTGGTAAGAAGATAGTTTGAGACCTTGGAAAGGATTTTTATCCCAGAAATCATTAAGGGAGGTAAAAATGGGGATGAAAGTTTTTATGGGGAAGCAACCTAGGGATGAACCCGAGCGAAGCAAGAGTTAGTTGCTAAACATTGATAAAATTAAAATTACACTTGTTATGTTAAAATCCACTAATTCTAAGCTAAGGCTACAGAATGCATTAAACTCGTACATACATACATGCATATACTCTTATGGTTGGGTCAAAATTACTTATTATATTATATTCTTTACTAGTGACTTACCGTCGTTTCGCTCGGGTGCTTCCCTTAGTATGTTTTAATTTTTTTGAGCGGGATCTTAATTCTTTTTCTAAAATAGAAGTAGTCTAAGTTGTTTCTTATAACATCAGCTATCTGCCAGTGAAAGTCCCGTCAAAATCGGTCCAGCCATTTCGGAGATTAGCCCGAACGAACAGATAAAAAAACTAAAATTAAAAAAAAACAGGTTTTCTTATATGTACCGATATATAATTTCATATTATGCATTTAGTACTATATTACTACTATTTTGACATGACAAACAAACACTTCAATATTATTCATCTTTATAGGATCTATCCCAATTATAAACCGGGTATATGAACTGAACTTTGTTTTATTATTGCATTTTATTATATTTTAAACATTTAATAATGCATTTTTATGAATAAAAATAATTTAACAATTTTCGATTAAGCGCCATCTATAGTCTATTTAAGTAAAACAAAACAGCTGTCAAAATGTCATGATAAAAGAAATGATTTTTACAGCCTGTAAAAAGAAGTATTTAAAGCAATGGAAGCATATCTATTTCTAATTAGGCTCATTTTTAACTCCGACCACCCGAAAGGTATAAAAAAATATATCATTCCATACGACCTTTTCTTTACATATTCTGAAAGTAGACTGTTTATTAAGATAATGTATTTGACAAACTTTAATCTAACTGGGGTTTTTTCGTCATTTGAAGGAAGTGAGGTCTCATCCATACTCTTACTTTATATTTTTTATTATATACGAGTACCTACATATTAGAACTGCCGTTTGTTATATATGTATATGTAAATAAGATAAATATGTAAATAGTTTTTTAGTTATTGTTCGAAATAAAGTAGTATGTTAATGTATTTTGTTTTATTTCTTAGTAAATTTGGCTTTTTTATTTTTATCTCCCACTGCCTTCTTGCTGCGAGATAAGAAATATAACAGTTTTCAAGATAAATCGTAAACTTTAAAATTCAAAAGATTAATTCAAATATGTTACATAAGCTTTGCTGATAGCCGGACAAACAAAGAGGCGAGAAAGTAACGTCGGGTCCACACGCTTGCCATTTGCCACATTTTAAATCTCTACGCACAAACGTGTGGATGCACCACAAGCACTTGTCGAAAATTATTATTTTTTTCTTTAGTGGTTTAGGGTTGTGTTAACAAACGCAATACATTCTGCTAGTGTCACGTATTGTGAGGAAGACACGAGTGAGATTGAGCGGTAATTTTGAAATTTAGCAGCTTTGACGTGGAGTTAAAATTATAAATGAATGATCGATCTACAGGAGCAACCCGCAACAATAAAAAGATAATTAAACTTAAAATAGACCAAACACAAATAGCTCTGGGCATATTTGTTGATCTAAAAAAAGCTTTTTAACCCCCAACGCAAAAAGAAGAGTGTTATAAGTGTGATGTCGATATTTGTCTGTGTGTGTCTGTATTTGGCATAGTAGCTCAAACGGACCGATTTCGATGCGGTTTTTTGCATTTGAAAGCCATTTGCCAGTTTCCTTGCGGTGTTTCTTAGCTATGTTTGGTTAATATCGGTCCAGCAGTGTAACAGTATCAGCTCTTTTCCAAAATGATGGAAGGCATTTTGGCGTATGAGTACTCGATTAATTGCTTCACGGTGACAATGAATGACAATCAATCGATGCCAGTGTAATCGTTTCAGGTTACGTACGTATTTTTACGAAATGTAATAAAATAAAAAAAAACGTTAGATTGCAGGTAAGGAAATGAACTATTAATAATATTAAGTATATAAACAATCGGGATATATATATATATATATATATATATATATATATATATATAACTAGCTTTATTAGTATAAAGTACATATATACCATATAATGTATGTGTATTCTATTCATATGCGTTTTCCTCTAATTTTTCATAATGATTGAATTGAGAAGTTGAAGTTCCAGCACTGAGTGGTTATTGGGGACCTCTGTAAATAGAATACTGTGTAAACTATCTATATTGGTAAAGCCGTCTCCGAGAAATATATTTAAACATATATAAGGCACATACAGAATAAAAATAATCGTGCTATTTTTAAAAATATAATTAATGATGCAAAAGTTGCAAAATAGGTTCTATATAAAAGAAAATTTTGAAATAATAGCACTGAACTGTGTTACTAGGTACGATGAAGATTGCTTGTGTTCTGGTTTTAGCATTGACGTACGGATATGTGAGTAGGGTGCTTTTTATAATATTTTAAGCTTTTGATTAATTTCTGAGTAATAAATACTTTTTTTAATGCATTTATGCATACCACCTGTGTGTATGTATGTATTCAACCCTTTGTAACGTCCCACTGCTGGGCACGGGCCTCCCTTCAATACGAGGGAGATCAGGTCATAGTCCACCACGCTGGCCAAGTGGGGGCGGACTTCACATGTCTTTCGAAAACTTGCTAGGTTCTCTCAGACATGCAGGTTTCCTCACGATGTTTTCCTTCACCGTAAGACGAGTGGTAATCATGTTAAAAATGACTCGCACATGAAAATTTCAGAGGTGCGAGAACCGGGATTTGAACCCGCTTCACTAGGTTTACCAAGTGAGCGCGTTACTACTGGACTACCACTGCCTTTCCACCTGTGGTAATTATGTGGGACTCACTGGATAGAAAACCTACTATCCACTTAAACCCAACAGAATAGCCCCCGTCTTAATTGAGCGTCGCAGGATCGCTTACGTACTCAACCACGACGCCCCGACAACAGGTCTGCTGAAGCAGACCACACAACCAAGGTGTCGCTCCCATGGTCTACTCTGCTGTCGAGAAGTACCAGAAGCAATCCGCATGGTACACTGCTCACCGAGGAGGGCCGCCTCCCAGTGCGTTTCTTGGCTTGGCTGGACTGCTTTTCTAATTAATTTTTTAAACAAATTTGACTTTAATGTTAATTCCAAGCTAATATTTATACTATAATAAAACTGTAGAGGTCGAATGTCTGTACATAGAAAAAAAATGCTAAAAACTGAGTCAGGGGGGTGTAAGAAGACAAATAGAACAAAACCAGATTTTTTTCAAATTTTTTGTTTCTCTGTCTGTCTGTTTGTACGGGCTAATCTCCGAATCTATTGGACCGATTTAAATAAAATTTTGCATGGTGGTACCTTATATCCCCGGGCAACATCTTAGATACTTTTCATCCCGGAAAATAAAAGAGTTCCCGTGGGATAGTCAAAAAACTATAATAACTTATACAGCTTAGTACACAACAACTTATGCACCTAATTTCTTATCTTATCTTTCCGGTCAAACAACAGGTTACTTTTCATCCCGGAAAAATGAACGGTTCCCGTGGGATAGATCTGTTTGTGCTTTCTAAAGGCGAACCGGAGCGAAGCGAGGGAGAGCCGCTAGTAATATATAAGCCACTTTAAGCCACCGTTGTATAACGAGTGTGTAAATATTAATAAAATATTTTCAGGCTAACGCATATGTCGTGGATAGATTAACCATGCCAGCTGTGGTGTTCGACAGCGGATGTGGATGCAGATGTGGATGTACTCCCCCCATAGACTACGGATGCATGACCTTAATGTCTCCTTACGGATGTAGCTCTAGTTGCGGATATTCCGTTTCAGACATGCCTTTAATTGGTTATGATACAAGCATATGTCAAAGATCGTTCTGTCCAATATTGGACATGGGTGTGGCATATCCGCTTATGGATTCAGGATGTCTATTCCCGGATGTATATGAAATATCCTATCCTCGGGGTTGTGGATGTGGATGCGGATGCGGATGCGGATGCGGATGTGGATGCGGATGCGGATGCGGATTAGTGTTTTCAGATTGTGTCCCTGTACCTCCACTACCTCCAGTAATTGGTTGTCCGAAATATTTAAGACAAATTACTTTACCGCCCCCATTTTTATAAATTAAATGACTAATATATCTTTTTTTGTTTTTTATTTTTATGGGTTATACAATATAAGTATAGCTTAAGGTCGAATTTGAAGGTGATCAAATTGAATAAATTTATAAATTTTCTTATTGATGTATGCGTAATACGTATATACGAGATAAATAAAATTGAAGTGTCTGTATGTAATGTCAAAACAATAGCTTTTTGCTAAATGCTTATGAAATTATATAGTATGTACGGTACTTATAAGAAAAACAATATTTAAAATTTTTGTCTGTCTGTTTGCTTCGGCTTATCTCCGAAACGCCTACACTGATTTTGACGGGAGTTTAAGTGGCAGGTAGCTTATGTTATGAGGTAGAACTTAGGCTTATTATAGAAAAAGAATTAGGGTTCCGCTTAAAAAAATACAGTTTTTTTCCAAAAGATGCACCTATATACTCGTAGATAAACTTAAAAAGCAAAACCGTATCTTGAGGGGGCACCGAGGCAAATAAGAAATAATTTCGTTCGTTTGATCCCTTGCTGTATTGTTATTACTAAAACTTAATTATGCAATTAATATATAGGATATTTAAAGACCTAGGCTACCGAGCTTCGCTCGGAGTTTTTGACCTAAAGTACAGTTTACTTTTTTTTTAAAAAAACTAACAACTTGAATAAATATAAAAAAAAAAACAAAAGTAAAAACTTTGTATGCGACCGAGATTTGAACCTGGACACCTGTGATATATAAATCGTACACTTTAAAAACACGATTACTTATACATAGTTTCCTCGATAGAAAAAAAACCCAAAATGATCTCTAAAAAACAAAACAACCCTTAGTATGGTGTAAATAATTCAAGGAAGTTCATCAGGTTTTTAATAGATAACAAAACTATACGTTTTCTATCACTTAAGTATAGACTTTTTAAATACATTTACATTTTCAAAATGTGTATTTGTTCTAATAATATGAAGAAAATGTCTAAATTCGCACGCGTTCCGCCGTCCTAGTCACACTCCCTGCCCGCTGTCCTACTAAAACAAAAAGCTCGATGCCCTTTTAATCCAAATATCATCCAAATCGTTAGAGCCGTTTCCGAGATAGATACACAAAATAAATTTATACATACGAGTATATACCTATACAAGAAGACATAGATATCACCATGGCAATGGACATAGACTACATATTTAGCCTCTTTGCTTATAGAGTGTAGCCATGGATAGAAGCTATTAGAAACAAAGCAAACGCTTCTCCACTATTGTTCGGACTGATTCAAAGATTGAGCTCGTTCTCATTCTGCTCCCATTTAGATACAAATCCATAGTTAGAAACGGTTGCGGACAAAATAGATTTTATGTATATATGGGCGCAGACAGTTTAGTTTTGTTAGTACTAATTCTAATATAAATAAACAAATAAATATAAATATGTTGGGACACTACCACATATCACCATCTAGTTCCATGGTGAGCTACGAGGCTTGTGTTATGGATACCAGATAGTTGATACACTACACATATATAACTTTAAATACATATTATAAATATGAACACCCATGACTGGAGTCAGGGCCGGATTTAACCTTAGAGCCGCCCCTGGGCACTGTAAAAAATGCCGCCCTATTATCGACATTTTGAATAAAGTGTTGAAAGTTTAAATTTTTTAATTATAAATTTTTCGAAATATGCAAAAAAAAAATTTATAAATGATATCAATTTTTCGAAAAATATACCTACATGTCAATTTTTTTTTTATTTTTCATTTTTTGGTAAATAAAAAAAAGCATTTTCGATAACGCGAAAAAAAAATTTTTTCTACCCTCCGAATTTTGCCGCCCCTAAAAATTTTCCGCCCTGGGCACTAGCCCCGAGTGCCGCTAGTGTAAATCCAGGGCTGACTGGAGGATAAACAATAACAATATAATATAGCAGTCCATCCCTTTTAGCATCCTACTATATTGATTCCGTCAATGTGACATATCAAACCAACAAATCTATATCTATACATATAATAAAATTGTAACTGAGCCGAATCTGTACATTAAATATTTTTTGGAAAATCTTATTGAAATAGACATTATTATCGATACAGAGGTTGAATCTATAGTTTTTAGAATTTTTGTCTGTCTGTCTGTCTGTCTGTTACCGCATCACGGAAAAACCACTGGAGGGATTTTGATGAGATTTCGTATGGTGGTAGCTGGTTATCCGGGTCAACATCTCATTAAGAGAAAAAATACAAAAACTGCATTGTAAGAGTATACTAATATGTAAAACTAAGAATTTGTTTTTGGTCACCTGAACGCGGGCGGAGCCGCGGGCAATGCTAGTCGTAAAATATTGACTTAATGTACATGCATTTACCGAAAATAAGACACTCAATCTGAAAAATTTCTTCTTCGTTCATTATTTTTGTAACTTTTAAATAAATATTGCGGTATTATGAACGTGTTTATGCTGATAGTGTTTACTTTCAATAGAACTAATCGAAATATACGCTCACTTTGGAAGTGAGCTTATATTTACCGAGACGGATTTCTTACACCGACCCGATATCTTGTATTGTTGATCGAAGATGTGAGGGGACCGGCCACAGCCCACGGTGTTGGTCAAATGCGTGTTAAAGGAAATCTCTTGTCTTTCCGAAACTAGTTGGATTCTCTCAAAAGCAAGTTTCTGTACGGTGTTTGCCGTCATTTTACGAAGAATTAGTTATGTTGAAAATGATCGCACAAGATCACTTCAGAGACGCAAGGCCTGGAATTTGAACCTGCTTCTCATGGTTTTTCAAGCAAATGCATTACCTCTGAGTTACCATTGGGCTTCCACTGGGTTTATATTACTTCAGACAGTAACTCGTTAATAAACACTTACGAAGGAATACCGCCAACCTGCATTTGTCCAGCGTGGTGGACTATGGCCTGATCCCCGTCGCACGGAAGGGAAGCCCACGCCCAGCCAGTGGGACTTCAAAAAGTGCTGAACAGAGACGAGACATGAGGGAATATTAAATGGAAAATTGATTATGAAACATCCAATAATTCGTTATACAAATAAGCGATAACAAATTACAAAAGACCACATCTTTATCTTAAAATCAAATTAAATAATAAGCGCATATCAAGATTGTATTGAATTATAAAAGGAAACTAATTTAAGAAATATTTTAATAATCATTTCATTGGTATAAAGGTGAGCATTATTTTATTTTTAACAGCCTTCAAAGAGAACAATCTAATCTGTACTAATATTATAAAGAAGTAAAGTTTGTGAGTTTGTGGCGTTGTAGGGGGTAATCTCTGGATCTACTGAACCGATTTAGATGAAATTTGGTAAGAAGATAGTTTGAGACCCTGGGAAGGACATAGGATACTTTTTATCCCGAAAATCATCCCGTAAGGGGGTGAAAACGGGGATGAAAGTTTGTATGGGGAATCAATATTTTTTGGGTTCCGTAGCTGTATCGTCATCTCCATCTGTCGGGTTTATTTTGTCTTTTAGTCTATTTTTAAGAACATTATGTTTTTGCTGTTGAAATAATTGTGTTCAAGTATAAATAGTACTTAAATAATCTACTAATATTATAAATGTGAAAGTTACTATGTCTATTGCTTTTTCAAGCTTAAACCGCTGAACAGATTTTGATAAAATTTGGCAAGAACATAGATTGTATCCTTAGGACAAACATAGTCTATCCTCGATTCCCGCTCCGCCCATCATGCGAGCAAAGCTGCGGGCAAAAGTTATAAACATAAATTCAGAATAATACATATCCAGAAATTCAAAGATTTGTTTGAAATATATAATGAATCTATCGTTCTACATATGTCACGGAGTGGACTCTTTATATTAGTATATTACTTTGTTTCTTAAAATGTTATTATGGGAAATGGCTAATCAAAGTGTGTATTTCTTTGGATTTGTTAAAAAATATAAAATATGCAAACAGTTTTAAATTATCAACTTAATTTAAAAAGAGAGTGATAATTAAATTGGTAACCTGATATTTACATAAAGACTCTGTCTTCTGGATATCAACAACGGCGCCACCTACCGGGTTAAACTATATCTAAGAAGCATTTTGATGACCACAAATAATCATCAAAATCGGTCGATCCGTTTCGGAGTAGAAGAATAACGAACACACGATGATCAGAATTTTATGTAATTGTAATATTTTGTTTGCAGGTCAAAATGAAATTTCTATATTTAACTTTAGCCTTAACGATAATATTTTCGCAAACAGTATTCTCAAGATGTCCAAGGCGAGTAATTCGTCCCAACCCCATGATGGGGCCCTTTCAAAACATTTTCGTGCCAGGATATAATGAAAGAGCCATGCCAATACGTATGCCAAATGGCCGTTTGGCGTACGAAGAAATTAAACCGACTAACATACCAGTTATGCAATTACAACGTGAAATTGATGTATCAAACGTGAGAGTTCTCCAACCGAACAACGCCTATCCACAAGAAACAATATATTTCAAAAGTCCAGAAGTAATTTCACAAGTTGTGCCTAATATTCCAGTCTTTCCGAATGTGCCAGTAACTGCGCCAGCGCCAACGCCAGTGGTGCCAATGGCTCAACTACCAATGGCATTACCACCTGCACAACCGGAGATTGTCTATCCTTATCCTGCAGTTCAAGAGAAAAGTAATTGTCCTTGTTCCGCATGTGCTGCTCCAGCTCCTTTGATTAGTCCATTTTTACCATCAGCCTCACCAATTTCCGCTTGGGCACCGCCGACTTCAAACCTGCTACCTCCTGTCATACCTAGCCAGAGCAGAAGCCAATTTTTAAGGAAAGTACCAATTCCACCGCCAACTTTATAATGTACTTAATTTATTGTTTATTTATAATTGTAAGAATATTTCACCTCAATTGTATGATATAATAAAATATGCTTAATAAATTAATAAATTATATATTTTAATACTATTTAATGATATTTGTTTATTCATACCTTTTTTTGACTAAAATATCATCTTACACGATAGGTCTTAAAAAAAATATATACTGACTAATGACTACTGATTCACAATCCTCTTCTTTCTCTTCTTCGTAAATATTACTTTAAAAATTAAAAGATACTATAAAAGATAAATGTTCACAATTTTTTATATGGTATTGATAAGGTGTCCGAAATATGGTATATTTTTTTATTCAGTTTTACTATGATTTTTTTACAGGTAAAAAATTTTTTTTGGGTGGTATGGTATTCAGTACGTATAGCAAATAAATCAAAACAAAATTGAATAATAAATTTATATAAAACCTTACCCTTTATGCAAATAGCACGCAATAAACCAGCGATTGGGTTTAATAGGTTGTAAAATAAGTTGTGTGTATGGCAACGCTAACAATTCGTTTCGGGCATATTAAATAAGTTTAAAATTAAGAAAAAAGTTTTTCCTCTAAATGTGATACAACAGAGGATATATATCACGTCTTAATGGAATGAGTCCGAAATGAATATTTTAGACAATATTTAGAAATTAGTTTAAACTTTAATTTATTTATTTTTTTTATTTTTTTTTACTAGTGCAAATGCTAAATTACTATATAAATTAGCATAGAGACGTATAGATTTAAAAAAAATATTTTTTTGTTTAAGTTATGCACAGAGTGACATAGTCAACTTTCTTTTTTATATTGGGACATCAACACATAGCACCATCTAGTCCCATGGTGAGCTACGAGGCCTGTGTTATGGATACTATAATAGATAGTTGATACATTACACATATATAAATTTAAATACATACATATTATAAATATAAACATCCATGACTAGAGTATAAACATTCGTGCTAATCACACAAATGAATGCCCCCAGCGGGGCTCGAACCCGCGACCACTGTCACAGCAAGTAGCGTCACCATAAAATGAGCCAAACGTGTTGTCAATACTTTTGACTAAGCTCTTTAAATAAAAAAATAATAATAACGCGACATGAGATTTGCCCTTTTATAACATTTTCTATTTATTAAAATAACACTTTAGAAAACATAAACATCTAAATCACAATTTTATCTTGTTTCATAACAAGACATAAATATAAATAAAAAAATTAATGTGTAATACATTGCATTGAACACAATATGCAATCATCTAGCAATAATTTCGATAAGATTGTTTCAAAATAATTGTTTTGTAAAATCTGACAAATAAGCGTTTTTGATAAAAAATCACTACATAAAGCCTTGATAGTACTGAACTATATTACTATCTAAAAAGCAGGGTGAAAATGTTAACGGCCATATTGATTCTGGTCATAGCTTCTGTAAGCGTAAGTATAATCATAACTAGATATGTATTATAATATCGTAGACATATATTTATTGTAATTAAAATATACTCGTATTCATTGCAGGTCCAATCACAAAGTCAGTTTCTACCTGAACTTCAATTAGGTAGAACAATATGCCAGTCGTTTAAACAAACTCTAATTAACCCTGAATCATATATAAAGAATCTGCCAACGGTGCCAACTAGGTATGAAGGAGCTATCAAAATAACCAACACAGCTCTGCCAACTGCACCTGCACCGAAAATGCCAGTCAAACCGTTTGTTACCGAATTGCCAAACTGCCCGGACCTATGTTTTAATGACATATTGACATCACCATTGGGATGCTTAGATCCCATTTTAAATGTTTATAGTGCAGCACCTATAATCGAGACGCCAGTCAGTCCAATGCTGCCAGCAACATCCCCAGTGTCTCCATTTTCATCGCCATTTTCTAATGTTATGCCACCCGCTTCGCCATGTGATCGAGATAGTCACTTTTTAACTAGAGTGCCAATACCGCCACCCTTTATTTAATTATTATTGAATTATTATTTTAATAATATTCTAGTTATTAATAAAATTGTTGCTTATATAACAGAGGTGTTTTAATATACTACTGCAAGGCACGATCAATTAAAGCACAATCCATACTATTATTATAAATGCGGAAGTAACTCTGTCTGTCCGTTACCTTTTCACGTATAATTTGCTGAACCGATTTAGAAGTTTGTATGAAGAATCAATTATTTTTCAAGTAAGGGATATATAATTCTTTAAAGTATTTATCTACGTTTTTACGAGTACTTATGTTGCATTGTATAATGTGATGTACTTACTAATATTATAAATGTGAAAGTGTGTTTGTCTGTTTGTCCTTTTTCACGTATAGGCGTGATTTTGTGTGGAGATAGTTGGAGGGCTGGAGAGTGACATAGGCTACTTTTTACCGCGGGGATTATCTCATTCCCACGAGAAAACACGTTATAATACGAACCAAAATATTATTCATGATCAGAACTACTTGAAACTTGGTATTAATGCTCTTCAATAAAATTAAATAAACACGCGTTTTAGTATTTTTTGAAATTTATCCCACACGGGGGTAAACTAGTACCTACATGAAAATTTGTATGAAACCTCTTTTTAGAGTTTTTCTGTAGTGTTAGCGCGAGCGAAGTCGCGGGTTCTGCTAGTAATATATAATTAAAGTATGCGTAAATTTTCAGATCATTGAAAAATAACTAGGAGTTTTTACTGAGTATTCATAAGTGGCTGGTCACATCTTGTGAGTCGCTTGCCACGCGACACGGTTACAAATGGCTAAAATTGTTAGATGCAAAATGAATTTTGCTAGCTTGCATTTAATTTTAGTACACACATATTTTATTTATAAAATAAAATAATTCAACAGCTTGAGGAATTAGGGCATTTATCGTCTTTTCAAGCAGCCAAAAATACATGGAATTACCTGTACCCAAAAGGTTTTCAGTAAATTAAAAATGACCCTGTATAATAAAGTCGTCCGCGTATTGAGAAATAAATACTTCTTTGATATTTTTACAAATTTTGATAGTTACTGCATTAAATAAGGAGGAGATAATGGAAATATGTATAATAATTTAATTATTTGTTTTTACAAACAGGTTTTAAGTGGTGCTAGCTTCAATTAAATTTATTTAATATTGTTTTATTATATTATATTATGTTTAACAGGGTTCGCCGCCATTAACATCGATCGACGTAGGTGCTGCGCCGGCCCGTAGCGCTGTCAAGTCGGACGCGAAGTCCTCGTATGTGGTAGCAGACAGCGGCTTGTCTTCAATGGACTTGGAACAGAAGGAGAATGAGCCTGAAAGAAAACTAAAACTGGTCCGTCAAGGGGCTTTCGAACAGAGCCCTCATGATGCCCCCATAATGATAATAAGTACAACGAAAAGTATCCAAAAAATCCAAAGTTGCAAGAAATAAGTCTTTCTCAGGGTCTCAAACTATCTTCTTACCACATTTCACCTCAATCGGTCTAGTAGTTTTGGAGCTTATTCAGTACAAACAAATTAAAAAAAATCTTTCCTCTTTGTAATATTAGTACAGATGTGCCGGGCAGAATAAATAATAAATAAATAAATATGTTGGTACAACACACTGTACCCTCTAGTGCCATGGTGAGCTACGAGGCTTGTGTTATAGATGCCAGATTTCGTGCTCATCACACAATTGAATGCGCCCAGCGGGCCTCGAACCCTCGACCGCTGGCACAGCAAGTAGGGTCACTACAAACAGCCATACGTGTCGTCAATGTTAAACTAAGATGTTGGAGATATTGCTCAATTTTTATCTATGCATCCGATTGTAGAAATTACGAAATAACATAACGCGGTGAGTTCTCGTCACATATAAATATAAGATCAGATTGCGTTTCCATCACAATCATTGAAATCGCAGTCACATACAAAATGATTAGAACAATGTTGGCCTTTTGTATTTTGTCATATTTTATTCACGTAAGTTATAAACTAAGTTATTTATACTGTGATGGTAAATTAATTTTACTTTCCTTTTTTAAATATCTTGTAATTTATTCCATGTTTCTGAAATCATTTGTACTAATACTATAAAGAGGCAGTTTGTTTATTTGTTTGTTTGTTTGTTTGTTTGAACACGCTAATCTCGTAAACAAAGCCAAATTGAAAAATTCTCCTTGAATTAGACAGCTGGTTTATTGAGGAAGGCTATAGGCTATATATCATCACGCTACTACACAAGGGAGCGGAGCTGTAATCTAACATCACAATCTAATAAATGTCAACAAATCGAGCAGAGTTCAATACATTATAACTAGTAGCATAGAAAGAGTTTTTTTTGTGTTTTAGCGCGAACGAAGCTGCGGGTTCTGCTAGTATAAATAATCATTATTATTTTCTTTTTTCAGGACACAGCGGCACAACAGAGATATCCAAATAATTTATCAACACAGACAAAAAAAAATCAAAATCAGTATATTATACCTAGAAAATATAGCATATTTTCGCCGATCACTCAAATACCTCGGCCGGCCGGCAGATATGCTAAAAGCACTAAAAAGTCACCAAGACTCACAAAACGACAATATCTGGCTGAGATGTTCAGACAAACAGCAGTGAAAAATTTAGTGGATATATCAAATGCAATGAAAAGACCTGTAAATATTCCCATGTAAAAATTCAAAAATTCAAAATTTTTCATGACTAATAAAGTAGTAAATGAAATACCAGTATACAAAAACTCATGTATTTATGTAATATAAAATAATTTTGTACATATAACTTATCCATGTTTATTTCTCTGTCTCACGCTAATTACTTTTGGCGCTTTCTTCGATGTATCTTACTTGACGACGCGTTTAGATCGACACTTTCGTACACTCCATAGTAAAAAGTTACAATTGGGAGTATTTTCAACCGACTTCCTTAAAAAAGGAAGAGGTTCTCAATTCGGCTGTATGTTTTTTTTATGTTTGTTACCTCAGAACTCCGTCATTTATTAACTGATTTGGATAATTTTTGTTTTGTTTGAAAGTTTATACTTCCAGATTGGTCCCATTTAAATTTCAAAAAAAAAATACCACCCCTAAGGGTGGAAAATTAGCTAATGATTAATTTAACCTACTTCTAATTGTCATATTGACTTGAAACTTTGCAAGTGTTGCTATTTCCGTTGATAGTACAGTGGTTTGGTATAGTTGACCTGATCTGACCCGGGCGCTTCGTCTGCCGAAGCAGACTACAACAACCACGGGGTTGCTCCAAGGTCCACTCTGCTATCAGAGAAGTACCAGGAGCAACCCGCATGGTACACCGCCCACCAAAGAGGGCTTCCTCCCACCGCCCACCGAAGTGGGTCACCTCCCTGTGCGTTTCTTGGCTTCGCGCCCGGCTGAATTGCCGGGCACTACTGAGCCTCCCCACCACGACAAGGTGAACGCACGTTGGGGAGGATACTGGCTGAACCTACCTCAATGGCAGCTAAAATGCTTTACAACTTTAAGTTTAAATAGTGAGTACTAATTGTAAGTAATACCCTCTTGTTTAAAAAAAATTGCCGTTGTATTTTATGTATTCAGGGAACGATGGGACTGACATTTTCGTCTCGTGCTTAAAAAGTCTCTAAATAAAAACAGATTAAAAAAAATAGCATTTTTTTCTTACCTCTCCAAATGGTTCCTATATGAAGTACTTTGTGAATCCGCAATATCATATGATTAGCCAATGATTATATAAAATAGGTATAAACCCAATATCTCTTCAGCTGCTAGAATGTGAAGTTAAAGATTTGAATTGGCTAGTTTTTACCAGTAGAGCTAGTATTTAGAAGAATGAGACATGTTAACCTTACAATATAAAAACAGTAACTTGCGTATATCATAAAGAAGATATAAGTGATTAGCTGAGTATAAGATAAATTACATGTAAAAACTAGCCAAGTCAAATCTTGAACTTCCATTTATCCTAAGTTATCTACTATGTGTAAACAATTCGGCTGTTCAAGTTTAAGACGTTCTATTTGCAAATAGTAAACACTTTTGTAGCAGAAAAAAAAACAAGAAATTGTGTTTAAATTTTTTTTAGAATGTTGTATGTTCTTATGAAAAAAATCAGGACTATCTACGGAACTTGGCACCCATTTTTACATTTATGTTTTTGATGGGATATCATGACTTTATATAAAGAAGCTATTTTTATTCATAATTTCAAAGTACATGTAAATTCAATCTATTTTTTTTTCATAATTTTGTGACTATTCGTTAGTGAATAAGACGGAATAGGAAAATGTTATTTAATCAACATGAAACCTTTTGTCCTCAGAAATAAAAGTTTTTGGTATGACTATGATTGCTATTTCTATCATATTTCAAAAGGAATTAGGTGTTAAGTTATTGCTATTATGTTTTGGAAGGCGCACGGTGTTGATATTTCTTTTTTCTAATTAAAAAAAAATGTTTTTGGATTTTTCCCTTTGTATGCACATTATTACCTACCTGGACACCAAATTTCAACTTTCAAGGTCATCTGGAAGTGGGTTAGGTTTTACTACTATATGTCAGTTTGTAAGTTATAAAAATGCCGATTTTTAGACGTTAATTTCTCAATAACCGTTTGAGCTGTATTTATGAAATTGGGGATTCTAGTTAATCTGAGGGGATTTAATAAATGAAACAAAGTTCATCAATTTACGTTTAATAGATTTTGAGATATTACGAGATGAAAAGTGGCTCTAAATGGTTTGTGTAAATAAACACACGGTGCTGCGTCGCCAGTTCCTTTGGCTCAAACTTGGCTGAACACGCTACCGCGTGTCTCGATTAAGTTGAATAATGTTTTTTTATTCAATAACTTAAATACGTTAACTGGCACAAAATACTACTATTATTGAATGGTTTCGTATAAACTAGTTTCCGCCCGCTACCGACTGAAAGCTGTTTTTATGCCTTTAAGAGGGAAAGCTTACTAACTTAAAAGATTTTTGAAATAACACTTTCTTAGATTTACGCGAATATTTGACATTTTAAATAAACTATCTTTTAGGTTTTTTTCGCCTATTTATTTTGATTTTTGGTTCCCGACGTTTCGAATGCTTTACAGCAATCATGGTCATGGTCGAACAAAACTCTAAATAAATCCGCGAAATAATCCGAAAAGATAGTTTAATGTAAAAGGTTTTTGAAAATAATTTCACGCAAAGTTATAAGCAGCTGTTCACTTAAAGTTAAATAAATTGAACATTAAGTTGTAAAACTGGAAAACAAAAGTGTAATGTTGGTCATAAACTTGGCCCTGCCAGGACTTAAGCCTGGATCCGCTGATTGTAGTCAGATGCGTTACCAGTTACGCCACAGAGTCCTACGCACCTAATGGAGAAATATCCGTACTTGTTCAAGTCTCAGCTACTTATTTTTACCAATAGAACATACTAAACAAGGTTTTTTGAAATAAAAAAAATATATATTTGAACGTATTTTGATATTAAAAAAGGTACCCTTGTGGTTTAACTGATTTATTAAAACAAAGCTGCTTGTCTTGCGGATAACAAAAACTACGCTGCGGGAAAAACAAGTAATTTTTTGGCTTTCTGTAGTCCTTCTCCAAATAAACTTTAACTATCCCAGAGCTCCTCCTTATTTATAAGATGCTTAAAAAGGCGTACAGTGTTTTCTCTTCACGTATTATATATATATATATATATATATATATATATATATATATATATATATATATATATTATCTACCACTACACTACAAGCCACAGCACCACCTACCGAGCCTAGACTGTGACATATTAAACAACATATTCGCGATACCTGAAACTTTAAAAGTCACTTTGGTGAATTAGGATAGAACCCTGTACAATTCGTTCGACGCCATCTCCTGAACACACGACAAAACTCATATACGAGTGTTGCGTATTTTCGTTTTCAGAAATTAATTATAATCTTAATATATATTATTGTTCTGTACGTGTATTTGTTAACTTACTCCTCCTAAACGGCTAGACCGATTTAGATGAAATTTTGTGTGGTTTTCAATGGGCTCCTGGATGGTTCGAAAATATAGAACCCGGTAGGTGGCGTTGCAGTCGGTTTGTCACTAAACAATTTTACACTTAAACATTTTCATTCGTTATTGAGAAATTAACAGTTTTGAAATGTTTTATCTGGTATTAAGTAATTCATTATCTGATCATCACGAGATTACCAACGTATCAGATAACGAGTATTATATAAATTAACATTAATACGACTGATAGATCATTAACTATTACTTACTAGGTCTGTCCTAGCATCGTTCTTATTCAAATCCCGTAAGTCATTCGCAATGTTCTAATATCCCACGGGAATAGTTTGATGTGCCGGGATATAAAGTATCCTATGTCGCTATCCTGTCCATAAAGTATCTCAATGCCAAGAAATACATCGATTCGTTGTTCTAGTGTTATGTGAAGGAGAGACGAACTAAGAAAACAAAAAACAATAAAAAATCTGTTGCTTTGGTTATATTAACAAATAAGGACTTTTACATAATGAAATGCCTTATAATTTTTATTATAGCTCAAGTAATTATTCCTCAGGTAATTTTATATTATCATATATTTCAAATACAAAACAAAAATGTCAACTTTTGTATAATATTTTTTTATTGTTACAGCCAATTGTCACTCAATTAGTACCAGTAGGTTCCAATTGTGGGTGTATTGAAATGCCAGTAGAAAGAAAATGTGGATGTTTCGACTTTCCCATATTGCCAAAACAGGAACTCATTTCACCAATGAAAAATATAGGGTTTGGAAGTCAAAGACGAAATCTTTTACCACGTAATAGTATGCTTGGCAACCAATATGCCAATATAATGCCATTGAATAGAGAACTGAATTTATTCGGAAATATTCCATTCAATAATATGTATATGCCAAATAAAATGGTAACAACAAGAAGTTTGTCTCCGCTCAAAATTCCAGTGCCAATGCAGCAATATAATAGATTGCCGAACTATATCAATGATTTTCATTGTAATGAGAACGTTATGAAATTAAAATCTCAATTGGCACAGCTGGCCGTGTTAGCAATGAAGTCAGCCAGTTTACTATCCAGTTTGCCAAACTATTCGAACAATATTATTACAAAAAATCCTCTCAACTCATTGCCAATGCAAGACTTAGGGCTTGGCAATTTCGGCTATAAACCTATTAGTTATCAAAATAATATTGTACCTAGATTATTTTAATTAGTTGTAAAATTCTATTTATTATATTATTTATTATACTTAATAAAAATAATTTAAAGTTTAACTTATAGTTTTCTTTTGGAAACTAACAGTACCTATGTATTTTTTACTGTCTGCAACAGAACACAGTCAAATAATCCCCATTTTTCTTCTTTCTTTAAATAATATCCTCGAAAATCATTAACAAACTCAAGTTCAAACTATACTTCGAATTAAATATGCTTTTACGAACACTTTTCAATTTCTATTAACATTTTTATAAAAACTAGTCTTCGTGGTGGTTCTCAATAGAAACAAAAAATTAAATAGGCTGTCTGGGGACTGCCTAAAGAAAGGAAAACTTGTAACTTTGGGATCACTGTGTTTTTTTAATTTTTAAATTAATTATAGTATTGATATTATAATTTAATAATTTGTAATTTGAAATTATTATCAGTCTGGTTTTCACATCCAATCGCACTCCGAGCAATAATTATTTACATTTTGATATAGTTTATTTATTAATCGTAACATATGGTGCTGCGCGTCGCTAAACTGCGTCGACACATCATTGTGTCACACGTAGCATGAGATTTTGCTCCTATAACTAACTGTTTTGTCGTTGCCTATTTATATGTATATACCTAGATTTATCACAGTCTAAGTGTGTTTATCGTGTTGTGTGTTTGTGTGTATTTCACGCTATGTCTACGCCAATAATGAACCGATTTTGATGATCCTATTGTAATGTTACAATAAATTACATCTGAAGTGAAGTCTCATAGAATTTTCAATGAAATCCATCTCTAGGTATGGACTGACTGAAAGTGATTTTTCAGCCGGCTTAAAGTATGAGTACTCTTAGTTATTAGTTAAATAGTAATCAAACGTTTTAGTATGCTGAGACATTAACACACAGCACCATCTAGTTCCATGGTAAGCTACGAGGCTCGTGTTATGGATACCAGATAGTTGATACACTACACTTATATACATACATATTATAAATATAAACACCATGACTGGGGTACCAACATTCGTGCTCATCACGCAAATGAGTTCCCCGAGCGTGACTCGAACCCGCGACCACTAGCATAGTGCTGAGTCATATTATGTTTGTTACTACTTCACGCTGTTCCGGTTGGTCGGATTTGGATGAAAAGTACACTATGACCTAAAATAACACTAGTCTTTACTAACTTCGGTACATCGGAACGCACTCGAGTGAAGCAAGAATAAATCACTTGCTAAAAAAAAGTAAAACCTGTTAAATCTAACAAGGAAGTTATAGATTTGAAACACACACGTGCCAAATAGCATACAAAAGAAGTGAATAATGATTCACTACCAAAGGTGTTTGATAAAATAACAAAATGTTTGCAGCTATTATAAACATATTTAACTAAAATGTCGCAGACTGTGGCTCGTGCGGTTTCTTTTTTAGTGTTCCAAGTAAGTGCAAAGCGAATATTTCACGTTGGCTTTTTACTTAAATTTACACGAATATTTGACCTTTTTAATATAACTATAATAAATTTTTTTTTTCGGGATATTATTTTGATTTCTGTTCTCGAAGTTTCGAATGTTGTCATGTTTTTTTTATTTTTCTTATATGCAAGCCAGCTAATATGGAATCTTAGGCAGATATGTGCAAATTTCTTCAGAATCGCAATGTAATATACGAGTATGAAACTAGCCAAAATATTCCATAATTTATTTTAGTCTAATTTTTCATTATTTCCAGATATTACTATACAATTCACTAACATTGTCGATGGGACAATTCAACTTTTTTAATCGACCCCAATTTCGTACTATCAGTAGAAGTCCATCAAACGGACCAATGTTTCTAAATGCCAAAACATATTTAACAGTTTTGCCAAGCAACGTGCCAGTAGTACCATGCTTCGAAGTAAGTCTAATAACCTTAAATAACATATTTCATTTTATTCAGGAGGTTATCAAAACACGCGGTAGCGTATCTAGCCAAGTTCAAGCCAAAGGAACTGGCCACGCAGCACCGTGTGTATATTTACACGAACCATTTGGAGCCACTTATCACCTCGTAATAACTCAAAATCTATTTAATATAAGGTCTTGAAATTTGGTTAATTTATTAAATTCCCTTAGAATAAATGGAATTTACAATTTCATAAATACAGCTCAAATGCTTATTGAGATATTAACGTCTAAAAATCGTCAATTTTAACACTGACTGATTGACATATAGTAGTAAAACCTAACCCACTTCCAGATGACCTAGAAAGGTGAAATTTGGTGTCCAGATGGGTAATCGTATGCATACAAAGGAAAAAATCCGAAAACAGTATTTTTTTTAAATTTGAAAATAATATTAAATTAATTTTTATTAACACCTTGCACCTTCCAAAACACAAGAGCAATAGCTTAGTGCCTTTTGAAATATAATAGCAATAGCAATCATAATTATAGCAAAAACTTTTTCTTGCTCAGAAGAAAAAGTTACACCATGATTAAATAACATTTTCCTATTCCGCCTTACCCATTAACGAATAGTCGAAAAATTATGAAAAAAAAAATTAAGTGTCTCATCTCAATTGTTTTGTCGATGAAGTTGACAGCCACGCTTATTCTTAACGTTGCGTTGACTTCAATTTTCACATTTATGTTTTGATGGGATCTTAGATTATTCCGGATTAAAGGTTTTAATAAGTATCTATACTTGTATATTTATTTATTTATATATACCGGCGATCTCGGAAACGGCTCTAACGATTTTGCTGAAATTTGGCATGTGAGATATAGATTAGTCTTATGTCTGGGAGAACGCGTGTTTTCGAGTTTTCATGCGGTTTCCTTCGGCATTATTTCACGCAAAATATGGTCGCTAATTTCGCACGCTCCGGCATAAGCACCGTGGTGAAGCGGCTAAGCCGCAAGATTGACAATCACAGGTGTCCGTCCGGGTTTGAGTCCCGGTCGGATACAAAGTTTTCGCTTTTGTGTTTTCTTGTATTTATTCAAGGTTTTTGTTTATTTTTAATTTTAAGCCAAATTAAAAAGAAAATTGTACCTTTGGCCTAAAACTCCGAGCGAAGGTCGGTTGCCCAAGAACTATAAAAATATAATAATATAAAAAAATAAAAAATCCAGTTACGGCGCGATTTGGCATAGTTCACATGTCTTTTGAAAACTTGCTAAGTGCTCTCCGACATGCAGGTTTCCTCGCGATGTTTTCCTTCACCGTAGTACAAGTGGTAATCATGTTGGAAATGATTCTCACATGAAAATATAGAAGTGCGAGACGAGATTGAATCCGCTTCACTCGTTGGGGAAATCGAACACCACTGCCTTCTTTTTGGGTGCATGCTATGACCCAATTATTGCGAATCGATTTTTTTATAAGTTATACCTAAGGGCGGTTCTGTATAAATAAAAAGAAACACCTTTAAGACTATAAGACAGTCTTTTGTTAAAAAATAATTATTATTTATTACTTTCACTGTATCACTTTTTTAAAGTATCCAATTTCACACTATGATAATATAAAATGTGTTTTCAGACAACCTTTACTCCAGAACCCTTGATACTAACAGAAAAAACAGCAACAATCCTACACAAAGTACACAAAAGGGATGAAGAAGTTGATGATGTAATGACAATAGCGTGTGATTCTGAAGAAGTTCTCAATAATAATTGTGATTTTGAGTGTGATTTGGAAGAAATATTACCTTTGGTGTGTGAAGATATTATGTATGAGGAAATCTATGAAATACTATAAAACAGTGTGGGTGTACACTGTACTTATGTATCCATGTAAGAAGTTATACTTCTTTGTTTTTTTAGAGCTTTGAAATAAAAGCATGTTTTTTTTTGAATATATTCTTATCAGCAAAACCTTTCATTTGATATCCAAATCAAGGGAGTGCATAAAAACAACATAGTTCGAAATATTTGGATTTACAATTTGCTTATTGTCTTTTGCTCATCGAACCCTTTCCTTTGATGCCCATATCAGAAGGGTCACTAAGGAAATCCGTTGAAGCTGCGAAGGAATCAAACTTCTAAGTCAACACAATCAAATCACATTACCGTTTATGCCGCATATATTGACAATCGTAAGGGAATCAAAACTTATAGGGTACTTCCGGTTGACCTAGAATCATGAAATTAGTATGTAATAATAGGTAGTTTTTGATTTTCATTTTAGAGTCGATACTAAGATATTTGAGTTATTGTCTAAATGGGGCCGAAATTGGTTGAGATATTTGCATGGGAATTCAATGTTACACGAAATCCAATCTAATCGTATTTGCTTCTTTTATTTGTTTTTTTCTTAACTTTCTCAACAGACTCAGTTTTAAGAGTGATGTAATCTTAATACAATTATATCATTACAAGATTTTATAATCGGGATTCTCGATAACTTACACAATTTATAGTCACGCATCATTTTAGATAACAAACTTTGATAAAGATATAGGCATTTCATATAAAAACGATGCAAATTAAATATCTTTATTAAAATATTAACTTCAGTTTAAGCACAATGAATTATTTCGGCTGTTTATTTTGTGTGCTATTGGTTAAGGTAAGAAAAAAAAACTTGGTTTTTTATTACTATTTTTTTTTTACTTTTAATTATTTTATGCATAACTCAATCTTAGTTTGCATTATAAAAAAATAACACATTCCTAATCTACATATTACATACATATAAATATTCGAAGACAAAAAAAAATACAATAATGATCGTGGAATTTTGATTACCCGGCGAACACTAATTTTCATAAATGTTTAAAATCACTTTAAATATAATTATACTACATTTACAGATATTTTAATATACTTATGTAAACATAATAACGGCATAACATATTCAAAAAATCATTTAAATGAGGTCATATTAGTGGAGACTTCCCGTAATATTAAAAAAATAATTCACGCGATCTCATTACCCTCACCTCATCTTCCTGAAGTCGGTAAAAAATTAAATTTGATGAAAAACTGTTCATGTTTCAGATGGCAGCGGCGCAAATTATATCATACGTGCCAAGAAGTTCTGTATCTCAAAATATTGTAGGTAATATTAATGGCTACAGACCAGTCAACGTGGGTATACCAATAGCCAGAAATGTGCCAAACACAATAGCAGCTATACCAGCCACCAACGGAGTATCCCTGTCGCCTGCCAATATAGCAAATGGCATGATGAATGGAAATTTAATGAACGGTCAAGTTACTAATTCACAAATTGTCAACGTTCAACCTGCCAATGCTCAAGTTGCCAGTAATCAACTTGCCAACGCTCAATTAGTCAATGCAGTGAACGAAAACGCCGCTATGATTACCAATCAAGAAATTGCCGCTATTAATAAGGCTAACTTAGCTAACGCTGGCAATGCCAATCTAGCTAATCTAGCTGGGAAATTGGCAAACATAAATGGTAATGTCGCCACTTTTGACCTTGGTAACGCCTTCACTGTGACCAGTGGATCCCCTGGAAATCAAGCTTTTGGGATCCAACTCTTGGCGGACGCATTGGAAATTGGTGGTACTGTTGCTGTTAATGGTCAGATACCAATCTTTGGCACCGTTGCTCTTAATGGCAATTTACCCACAGATGGTACTGCATCTGTTAGCTACAGCTGTGATCAACCAGCAGCTAGCACTACTGTATGATGTTATTGATATTGATATGATTGTTATATTTAGTTAATCATATTTATTTTACATTATTTTAAGTTATTATAAATAAATAAATTATTTCAAACAAAAATACTTGTTTTGATAACCGTAAAAGTCACAACTTATAGGTAAAACTCAATTAATTTTGAGCAAAGCCTGCAAAAAAAATGTATAATCGGTATAAATACATACATAATATATTATATAATATGTATGTTGTAGACGTTATCGTTATTATTTAATTTTTTTTTTGAATTTTACAATAAAACAAGTTGTATAGTTAGTTCATTCTGGAATTGAAATGAGTGAGAATTATTATACAACTAGCATTATCCGCCCGCGTTCAGATGGCCAAAAACCAAATTCTTAAGTTTTACATATTAGTGTACTCTTACAAAGCAGTTTTTGTATTTTTTCTCAGAAATGAGATATTTTTCTGCGGTAAAAAGTATCCTATATGTTGACCCGGATACCCAGCTATCACTATACCAAATTTAATAAAAATCCCTCCAGTGGTTTTTCTGTGACGCGGTAACACACAGACAGACAGACAGACAGACAGACAGACAGACAGACAGACAAAAATTGTAAAAGCTGAACTATATGCTATAGATTTTCCAAAAAATATTGAATGTACAGATTCGGCTTAGTTATAATTTTATTATATGTATAGATTATATAAGCATTCGGGGTACCCCCGTCAGGTACAAAGTTCCTCACGTCTTTTCTTTAATTTTGACTGTAAATTGATATAGTGTCTATTGGCACACTCCACGGATGTACTTTAGTATAGGAATCCTTAGAGGCACGGATAACTATAATGTATAATGTAACAATAAATACTTGTGACAAAATATAATATTTTATCTACTTATTTTTCTAAGTTTGTACTACACATACTTGCTGCAGTTTCCATTTCTTAAATCTCCATTACAAAATTGAACTAATCAGATACTAATGTAATAACTTTTAACAAAATGATTATTTAAATAAATTGAAAAAGAATTTTATTTAACAGGAGTATATCATCGAGCATATTTATATAACTAACACGTAATATTAACAAGTGTGGCTTGTGCGCTTGAGGATAATATCCGAACTACGTCGGACGGAAACAAACGGCTCGTAACGTTTTTTCGTTACGTGACGATTTCTACTTGTCAACTCCTTTTTTTTGTCGGGAAATGCATTTCGCATGTCACCTGCGTGCATACAGGTGGTTACGTGTGACTCACCGGACTACTCACTAAAACTCAACAGAACCTCCCCCTTCTTAATGGGGCGAAGCAGGATAGCAAATCAAACGAGAAGTGATACCAAGGCTGGTGAGTCCAGCCTCGGGTCGAACTTACATACATCTGTTCTTCTTCTTCAATACATTGTTTGTCAGATTAGATATTGATTTGTAGACTGATTTTAATTTAATTGATATCAGAACAAATTTAAACGCCTCTATTATTTAAGTTATTTTAGTTTGTATACAGATCTCAAAGTATGATTAAAATACCTTGTTACAAAACAAATGTACAATTTATTTACCACTAGCTTCTCACCCTCGCTTTGCTCGGGTTCGTCGCTAGGTACGTTTTAAATAGATATAAATAGTTATTAGCCAGCGTATAAGTATATATATATATATATATATATATATATATATAGCATATTAGTTTTTTTGTTAATAATATTGACAAGTTGATTACGATACTGACGTCACTCAATTGTTTTGCCTTCCCGGAACCTCTCCGCTAACACTTAAACTTTATGGTATGGTATCAAAGTTCAAATTAACTTTTAAGTATTATTACGAATCTTTTGTATGGGAGTATATAAAAGTGTTGTTTTTAGACTTTTTCGGGCAATTTTTTTATTTTTCTCTCCGTAAGAACCATCCTCGTACTTCAAGGAATATTCTAAAAAAAGAATTAGAGAAATCGGTTATCGGGTAGCTGCTCTCGAGATTTGCGCTTACCAACACATTCAGCGATTCATTTTTATATTATAGAAGACTAGCGACTATGTTTTGACGTTTAATATAGATATCTCAAAGATGATATATTTTCCTGCAGTAAAAAGTACCCTTATGTTGACCCGGATAACCAGCTATCATCATACCAAATTTCATCAAAATCTGTTCAGCGGTTTTGTCGTGATGCATTCCCAGACAGACAAATAGACAGACAGATAGAGATACGAAAATTCTAAAATTCAATAAAAACTACAGATTCAGCCACTGTATCGATAATAATAATAACTATTTCAATAAGATTTTCGGAAAAATACTAATATACAGATTCGACTCAGCTATAATTTTATTATATGTAAGTATAGATTATTAAGAAATGGTATTATAGATTAATAAGAATTGGTAGGTGTCACAACTTACCTTGGTGTCTGTCATATGTCACAACTTACCTAGGTGTGAGAGTTGTGACATGGGGAGTAGTTTTTATTTTTGAACATTTTCTCAGAAACCTTATTACTTACTTTCATGAAAGTTTGATGATTGTTTCTTAAAGAGTAGTAAATTGAGCTACATTGAATTACAACTTACCTATACATACAGATAAATAAAATTGAAGTGTCTGTTTGTAAAATCAAAATAACGCTTTTTACTAAATACGTACGAAGTTATATACGGTACTTATATGAAAGACACATTCTTTAAATTTTTGTCTGTCTGTCTGTCTGTTTGTTCCAGCTAATCTCCGAAAAGGTTGGACTAATTCTGACAAGACTTTCACTGGCAAATAGCTGATGTTATAAGGAGTAACTTAGGTTACTTTTATTTTAGAAAAAGAATAAAAATTCCGTTAAAAAAATTAAAACGTACCTAGAACCCGAGCGTAGTAAAGGTAAGTCGTTAGTAGTTAGTATACATACTATACTATAATAATATATTAATAATAACAATAAAATATTTATACTGAAAAGATTACTTGTTTAAATATTCTATACTAGCATTGCCCGCGGCTCCGCCCGCGTTCAGATGACCAAAAACCAAATTCTTAGGTTTTACATAGTTATTAGTAACTCGTTCTCAAAATGCAGTTTTTGTATTTTTTCTCAGAAATGAGATATATTCCCGCGGTAAAAAGTACCCTATATGTTGACCCGGATAATCAGCTATCATCATACCAAATTTCATCAAAATCCCTCCATTGGTTTTTCCGTGATGCGGTAACAGACAGACAGACAAATAGACAGACAGACAAAAATTCTTAAAACTATAGATTAGGCCTCTGTATCGATAAAAATGCCTATTTCAATAAGATTTTAAAAAAAATATTTATTGTACAGATTCGGCTTGGTTAGAATTTTATTATATGTATAGATGACTAATAATCGAATAAGCAATTTGAAATCTAAAAGTTTAAAAAAGAAATGGCCTTCATATTGCTTGCAGTGGAAGATTAAAAAAGCTGAATACATGCATAAACCATAATTTATTAAATATTTTATTAGAATATACCTAAATTATTACAATTTTCATAATAAAATTTATACAACTTGATTGTTGCAACCACAGTTGCTGGCAAGAGTGACCGTACCACCAGCCGGCACAGTTCCTTCAAACGTGACAAAACCTATCACTGGCACGTTACCAGATACTGCAGTTAAGCCATCCACTGGTAAGGTACCCCGGATCGCTACATCACCAAATCCGTATGGTGATACGCCAGATATAGGCAATCCTGCCAATGGCACGTTGTTTAAACCATTATTGGCATTAATAACATTATTGGCAGCAGCAGTACTGGCAATAGCAGCATTGACAACGTTTTCAGCGGCAGCAGCATTAACATTGGCTATTGAATTTGCCAGACCATTATTAAATGGCACATTATTGACCATATTATTGCCATAAGCCACATTATTTAATAATCCATTCGGAGCAATACCACTGGCTAAATTATTTGCTGCCAGTCCATTGGCATAGTTATTAGTTAGACCAATACCATTATTGATCATGCCATTTCCAAATCCACTGCCTACTGCAACTTGGGTCAACGCATTCTAAAAAAAAAACGAAAAACAAATTTAAAACAAAAAAAAAATTTTTATTACTAAAACAGAATATCAGGTCTTAAATTATTGTCAAAGTTTTATAACTATAAAAAAAATACTTACCTTAAAACTACAAACTAACAGGCAGACAGATAAAATGTGGTCCATCTTTTCAGAACCAGGCGTTGTAGCAATGTGTATCAAATATGAATTAACATCTCTTTTAAATTAATTCGTATCAATAAAATCAAAAGTTACACAACAATATGGCGATACGTGATATTGTATAAGTTTTAAAAATATACGGTATTTCTAATAGACAATCATTTTCTTATCTTTTAAGATTACAATTACGTAATGTTTCTTTAGAAAAATTACTTTAATATTTCTTGAATATATTTCAAGAATGAAATGTATATATCGGGAATTTAGTAATGTAGGTGTTTGGAAGTAATTAAAAAAAAAACAATTTTTGTGGCTAACATTTTTTTACATAACTGCGGCGAAACCCAAAGGAGAGTTATGTGTTTGACTTGTAACACATAAGTATATATGTATGTACGTGTACGTGTAACTGCCTCGGTGCCCAATGGCTATATGTGCGGCTGCAGATCCGAATATTTAAAAAGAAAATTTTCTATAATTTACGTACCTAATAACCTTATTTTCGTAAAATGAATAGTTTTAGCGTCTTTGAACGATTTTATTTACTTTGCCCTGTTTGTTTTGGTCAATTTAGTAATTGAAATTTTAACCTTTTCCTGTTGACAGATTGATTTCAGACAGATTCTGATATTTTGGAACACACCTTTAGTTCTGAAGGCGATACAATTGAATATATTCAGTATCATTGTAAATCAAAGATGGCCGCCGCCACGAAATGGCGGATAGCATTTTTTTTCACAGCCCCCTCAATAATAATAATAAACCTTTAGAATTCAAGATAATTTAAATAAAGATAATTTTAATTTGGTAGCTAGGATATGTTTGAGCAGTCTCATTTAGAAAATTAATAATAAAAGCACTAATTTAATAATTTAATATACTTAATTGTAACTGAGAACTAATTTGATTATAGTAGGTAGTAACTGTCGCATATCTATACATATAATAAAATTGTAACTAAGTCGAATCTGTACATTAAATATTTTTTGGAAAATCTTGTTGCAATAGACATTATTATCGATGCAGAGTCCGAATCTATAGTTTTTAGAATTTTTATCTGTCTGTCTGTTACAGCATCACGAGAAAACCACTGGGCAGATTTTGATGAAAGATATGATGATAGCTATCCAGCTATAATACCATCACAGATTTAATTATATGAAATGTTAAATATTTTATAGTGACAAATAAAGTATATGTTAATAATATATGTTGATATTTTGCAGTCAGCCTTTTCTTCACTTATTACACGTGTATGTAAATATGTTAATTGTTTCTTATAAATAAAATTTAGTTCAAACAAAAATATATTTATGAACACGACACCATTTTTGTTTATGAAAATTATACTGCAAAATGTCACAATACAAATTTTACGATAATTACCATATCAGGCAGTTTATTTAATAATTTATTATATCGGATATCCATCCGGGTCAACATATAGGATACTTTTTATCGCGGGAAAATATATCATTTCTGAGTAAAAATACAAAAACTGTAATGTAAGAGTATACTAATATGTAAAACCTAAATATTTGGTTTTTAGTCATCAGAACGCGGGCGAAGCCGCGGGCAATGCTAGTTGCTAAATATAATATCAAATGTCTTATTGGCAAAAACTAAAAGACGTAAATCAAAAAATATATTATAAAAATAAAAACCCCAACTGCATAAACTGCATACGTATGTACTACATCTCGCGGCGAGGATGAAACGTGTATGTCTACGACTGTATAATACTATATTCCTTCGTCAACTTGTTCTCATATTTTAAGTTAGCTTATATGCAGTCGGGTTTTTTTTTTATTTTTGTAAATTTTTTTTTTAATATTTTTTTTTATTTTTTTTCTTTAATCCTTTTACAAAAACATTAGAAATTTCAAATTTAATAAGATTATATTTTTCTTTTTTGTAAGTAAATCTCTTATCATTAATAAGAATGACCACATAGATGTACATATATATATATATATATATATTTGAAAAACTGCCTGATATTGTAATTATCGTAAAATTTGTATTGTGGCATTTTGCAGTATAATTTTCATAAACAAAAATGGTGTCGTGTTCATAAATATATTTTTGTTTGAACTAAATTTTATTTATAAGAAACAATTAACATATTTACATACACGTGTAATAAGTGAATAAAAGGCTGACTGCAAAATAATCAACATATATTATTAACATATACTTTATTTGTCACTATAAAATATTTAACATTTCATATAATTAAATCTGTGACGGTTTTTAATAAAGATATGCAGCATTACACCCACATCCGCAGCTACCAGCAATGGACACACTACCAGCGGCTGGCATCTCACCCACGACAACAACATCTCCGATACCAGCGCCTCCATATGCTCCTGCAACTTCAACGGCTGCAGGTGACACACCATAGGGTCCAAACACCCCGAGCTCTATAGCGGCAGGTGAGAGTCCAAAGGGAGAAGCTGCCAGACCGGCCCCTAAGCCGTAGGGAGCAGCCAAGCCAGCTGCAGCGGCTGGTGAGACGCCGGCGTAGTTCAAGCCATAACTACCACCAAGTGGTCCAGATGCTCCAAGACATTGGCCGTATATATTCTAAAACATTACCATTAGTATCATGACTAGTTGTTTTGATTTGTTTTCTTGTATGTACTACAAAACCTTTTCAAATTATTTAACTTGGTTTAACTAGATAGATTTTAGACTCTTACGATATGGAAAAAATGTTAATATATCAAATTGAATTCTCAAATGCAAGTCAAATTAATATGATGATAAAGCCATTTGTAACTTTTTTTTAACACTTTGAGACGTGGGGATCTCATATATCTAATCATTTTCTATTAAAAAAAAATGCGTGTATGTGTAATTAACACACGGTAGAAGTGAAACTTCAGAAAAGTAACCTACGAGAGAATGAGATGAATATACGTAACCTATAGAGTATTGGGAGTAGGATAATTGTAAGGTTTATTTTTTTAATAATATTTTTTACTAAGTTTAAACGTTAAGTTACATTTTATTTGACATAAATATACATTGCATATTATTCCACTACTTAATTTTATTATTTTTCACTTCTTGTGTAATGTATGTGTAATGAATCCTATTTCAAATAACAACGGTTACAATGGCAATGCGGCAATATATTCTATCTCATTCTCTCGCCGGCTTAATAATATATATTTATGTGTTTGTCTCTTTTCAATGTTGCATTTCCGTTTCATCGAGTTTCAAATCAGAACGATTCAAAAAAAGTTTCACTTAAAAAAATTTAGGACAAAAATAAAACAAACAACTCATTTGTTCTAACACTCAATACGAATAACTAGCATCTTCTTGATCCCTACAGATTGGGGAATATATTAATTTAATAAGGCAATGTTTTATATGTTTTATAGCTTTAATATATTTGAATCAAGCACATTTGAATGCACAAAAAGACGAAAGTGAAGGAAGACATGTTCAAACCTGAAGAAGTCTATAGATACCAATGTTCTGACCCAAAAAAGTATCTAATTTATATCACATTGTCCTACATTACTTGTGTAATCCTCATTATATATACTGACATAATAATGAATGAAGTAACAGTCGACCTAACTTTGTTACACGCCTACTTGCGTTGACATAAACTTACATAACAGTCTCACGTGTGATCCAATTCTTGACACTTAACGATAAGGCGAATTGGCCCAACATTTAATATAAAACCGTATGAAATTTTGGTTATTAAATCATACATTGGTAGATCTTTCAAATTTCAATTACTAAAATGGTGACAAAAGCTGTTTTTCTGTTCTGTGCTCAAGCACTCTTAGTTAAGGTAAATAATTTAAATCTATTATTATAGTAATAATGTATAGTTAACATAGAGTAAATTATTGAGCTTTGAGCAAAAGGCAACTTTGAGTAAATATGTTTTATTATTATTTTGCAGTATGTCTCTAATCAATATATCGGTGCTGCATGTAACCCTGCAGCTAATGCCTTGGCTTGGGAGGCATCTTCTGCTGCTCCCTGTGCTTGTGCTGCTGCCTGGAATGCTGGACCGTATGCAGCCGGTCTAGCTGCTCCGTGGGCTGGACCAATGGCCGCCTCACCCTGTGTGGGCGCTGAATGGGCAACCGGCTACTCACCTGCCTCTTTCACCGCTTCTAACGGAGGCGGTCTGGCTATCACCAGTGCCTCGCAAATCGCACCCACCGGTGTCTCGATGACATCTGACAATGCATACGAAGGTCCTCTAGCTGTGTCCGGTTCAATTCCATTCTTAGGTGCCGTAGCATTAGAAGGTGCTCTACCCACAGCCGGCGTAGGCGCCATCACATACGGGTGTGGGAACGGTAACGTCGCTATGCTGAGTGAGGACATCGCACCTGCTGGGTACAATACACTCGCGGGTGCGTACGGATATGGGCCAGGGGTAGCGGCTGAGTTAGGCTACGGATACGGCTCTCCTCTAGCCTATGAAGCCGGTATCGCAGGACCTGGCTATGGTCCCTACGGCTACAGAAGCTGTGGTTGTGGAGCGTTTACCAAGTAAAAGTAGATATTTTAATTTAGAAAAAATCCGTATGTTACCTAGTGAATTAAAAATACCATATTGGAAATAATTAAGTTAATAAATATGATATTAAAAAATTTGTATTTAATTTTACCTTAAGAGTAAATAAATTGCGTTCTAATTAATTCTTTATGTAGGAGACTAAGTTTTTGGGTCAATTTGGTTTTAATTATGCTCGAGATGACATGAAATCCGTTGCTCTTGTCGATAATAATAAAGACTGTTGTTAATCGTTCGTTAAACCATTCCATGACATTTGATTCCATGACAGCTTGTATGGTATACGTACTGCGCCGACCCCAAGTAATTGGGGAAATGGGCAGGAAGAAGAGAGACCGAATGTCTGTACATAGAAAAAAATGCATAACACCGAGTCAGGTGGGTGTAAGAAGAGAAATAGAACAAATCCAGTTTTTTTTTTAAATTTTATTTCTCTGTTTGTTTGTTTGTTTGTACGGGCTGTATGGTTGTACCTTATATGCCCGCTCAACATTTTAGATACTTTTCATCCCGGAAAATTAAAGAGTTCCAGTAGGATAGTTACAAAACTATATGATTTTGTTGTTATGATGTAAATAGTATATTCCCAATAGGTTTTCAGTAAATTAAAAATGACCCTGTATCTTCATCTTCTTCTCCCTGCCCATTTCCCAATAAATTGTGGTCGGCGCAGTACATCTTCTGTACTGCTGATAGGATTTGGCAAAAGTTTTACGACCGGCCGCCTCACGCCTGCCTGACGTCAACCCTCCTTGGGAATGAAAAATGACCCTGTATAGTGTATACTTAGGCATAACAACACCACGACCGATGTTTGTGGGCGACCGACTCTTTGCCAGCATAAGCCATGTTAATTTCTAAGAACGACTCGATAGAACCAGCTTTTGTGTTTTCCCGTACGAATGAAGATTTTCTTGTATTAAAAGGTACCCTAAATGCTGTCCCGAGTAATAAGTTATCACTACACAAAATTTAGTCAAAATCAATTCAGTACTTTTTGCGTGTAACGCGAACACCCAAACAGACATACAGACATAAAAACCGACTTCAAACAAAAGCACTAAAAAGTAAAAAATAACTGATTGGTAGTTTTCATTTACTATACATACCTAATCAAATATTTTCGAAGTCGGTGTGCTTTGCTTTGTATGGGCTGGCACCGATTTCGAAAATATTTGATTAGGTATGTATTTAATAGGTAGGCTTTAATTACTTAGTCAAAGCACACCGACTTATATATGTATAGTAAATGAAAACTACCAATCAGTTATTTTTTACTTTTTAGTGCTTTTGTTTGAAGTCGGTTTTTATTTTTTTGTTAAAAAGTTTTTATTTTTCCTTTTTAGTGCAGACAGTAGTAGCAAAGTAAGAATTCTAACGTGTTAGACTTGTCAAACCAAACAAAATAAGCCCAAACTCAAAGTATCTACTATTAGCCGTTGAAGAGTTCCACCTATCCACCTTCTGGCCTTACCATCAGATCAGGTCAACAATACCGAACCACTGTACTATCAACGGAAATAGAAAGACTTGCAAAGGTTCAAGTCAATATGACAATTAGAAATAGGTTAAATTCATCATTAGCTATTTTTCCACCCTTAGGGGTGGTTTTTTTTTTGAAATTTAAATGGGACCAATCTGGAAATATACACTTTCAAACAACACAAAAATTGTCCAAATCGGTTAATAAATGACGAAGTTCTGAGGTAACAAACATAAAAAAAAATACAGTCGATTTGAGAACCTCCTCCTTTTTGAAGTCGGTTGCCGTTTTCTTATATGTATAAAAAAAAAAAAAAAAATAAGAATAGTTTTTATTGCTTAATCATTTATAACATTTTTTTGTGTTCGAGTCTTCCCAGTAAGTAATCCGGAGGATACTTGTGTTGGGAATGGCCCGCTTCTTCCCATATGCATAATCTATGATTAAGTTAGGATTATTGCATGTACAGTTTTACTAATGTTAATTTATTATGTTTGGAAAATTACTATTTAAAAAAAAAAAAAAGGTAAGTACATGTGAGTAGAACACCAAGATATAAACAAAGTCATTCGTATGCTAGTTTTCAACAACAGTTACAAGATGATCTAATCGATATTAATAATACAAATATATACATATTAGTTAAGAATACAAGTTATATGTAAGTTATAAATGAAATTAAGTAAGTACAGATTAAGTGTGTGTGTGTGTGTGTGTGTGTGTGTGTGTGTGTGTGTGTGTGTGTGTGTGTTTGTGTGTGTGTGTGTGTGTGTATGTGTGTGTGTGTGGGTGTAAGCTTGAGTGAGTGTGAGTGTAGATATGCCCCTTGGGATCGGATCTACGAGTCCACATATAGGTATATCATTGGAGGTCCTCATGTTATTCTAGTTATGAGGTTCTCGACTTCCTCGTAAGTGAGGGTATTCAACCATTCTATAAGTAATTTTTTACAACTGTGCAATGTCATAGGATAAATTTTAATTATACGGTTAACTTTATTGTACACAAAGGCAGACTGAACAGCATATTGCCGTTTGGCGAAGACCGTGCGGACATGGTGATATGGAGCTACTATGTCATTTCTCCTTTTATTTTGTAGATGTTGATCAAAAGGGAGTGACTTATGGCATTGTAAAGTTAAGTTAAGGATATATAGCTTTCTAACGGATAAGAGATTGCTAATATTGTAGAGGGTGACTGTAGGGAACCTATAGGGTTTAAAATACATTACCTTTAAAAGGGACCTCTGTACTCTTTCCACATTAATAAGATTAGTTTTTATAGCACCACCCCAAACCGGGATGCAGTAAGTGATTACAGGTTGTACTAAGGCAATGTAAATTTTTTTAAGAAGTTCTTTTGTCATGAGATGTCTGAGTGATTTAAAAATCCAAGTTAGCTTTCTTACCCTATCAGTAACTAGTTCTATGTGATAAGACCAACTTAATTTTTGATCAATCATAATGCCAAGGTACTTGGTGCAGCTGACTTTTTGTATAGAAGGGCAGTCACATGAAGACCAGTCATGATCAACACACTTATGTATTCTGATACTAAAATTCTCGCCTGGTTGTGAACTTAGGTATGGAGTAAAACAAATAAAGTTAGTTTTTAGAATGTTGAGAGTTAGAAGATTACCATTTAACCAGCTTAAGACTCTAACTAGACCTTTCTCAGCAGTCCTTTGCACGGCATCCCACGACTTTCCGGTAAAGACGATGGCGGTGTCGTCCGCATAGGAGATTATCCTTCCCCCAGCGTGAGGAAGATTACATAATTCGTTTATGTATATTAGAAAAAGCGTCGGACCGAGGACACTACCCTGCGGTACCCCATAACTCACGCATTCTTCATTACTTAGATGTTTATCTATTTTTACTACTTGTGTTCTATCCTGAAGATAACTGCTAAAGAGAGAAAGAGCAGTACCACGGATGCCAATGATCTCTAACCTACGTAAGAGCATGGGGACAGACACAGTGTCGAAGGCTTTTTTCAGATCCAGAAAAACTGTGAGACATTTGTTACCCTTATCGACATCCTGCACTATCGTAGAAGTCAAAGTCAATATAGCGTCTTGGGTTGATAAACCTTTCCTGAATCCGTATTGAGAGGTAGATAGTATGTTGTATTTATTAAGGTAGCTGACTAGTCTCTTATTCAGCAATTTCTCTATGACTTTTGAGATGGAAGTCAGAACGGAGATAGGTCTATAATTACTTACTTCGGAGCTGTCTCCACTTTTATACACGGGAGTGACTAAGGATCGCTTAAGTGCAGAGGGAAAGATACCAGAATCAAAGCATAGATTAGTTAAGTTGCTAATTAATGGTACTAGGAAATCTCTACAATGCTTCAAAAAATTAGTGGGTATCCCGTCCCAGCCAGGAGCACTACCCGAGTCCAGGCTCATAAGAATACTGTCAACTTCTTGAGGGTCAGTATGCAATAATACAAAAGAAGACGAAAGAGTATGATATGCTGAGTGACTAGTTGACGTTGAATTTGACTGAGTCTTAATAGTTTCTGCCAATTCAAGGCCAATGTTGGCAAAATATTTATTTACTTGGTTAACAGAGGTTAGAGGTAGAATTGTAATATTTAATAAATCAACATTTTTGCTTTTAGGTTGTTTATAATGGGTGACTTCATTTAAAGTAAGCCATAAGTCTCTGGGGTGTTTTATGGTTTTAGTTATACGATCCTTATTGTGTTGCCGTTTTAGTTTTTTAATTAGGTTACTACAGAAGTTACGATAACGCTTGAAGGTAATTTTTAGAATTTCATTTTTGGGATTTACTTTTAACTTCATTTGCAAGTGATTTCTAAGTCTTATACAACGTAAGACCCCAGCGGTTATCCAGGGTTTAAGGACCTTTTTACTGTTCGATACTTCAATTATTTTAGAATTTGCTTTAATCGTTTCTCTAATCATACCTATCAATGCATTCGCAAGGAGATTAGGATTATTATAAATATTTAAGTTAGTAACGTCTGAAGTAATAAGCATATTGTATGCTTTTTCATAGTCTATTATTGTTCTCGTTTTTCTAGATATGTTATTATGATGATTATATGAGTGCGAGATAGTCAGGGTAACCAGGTCATGGTCTGTGACTGTGGTGTTTAGGACAGCTATAAAAGCTGAGTTATGTTTTTTATCTAACTTCAAAATAACATGGTCAATGCAACTGTCAAACCTCGTAGGAAGAGTATGTCCAGGCAGAAGGCCATGTGAAGATAATACATTGAGATAATTTAGTCTATTTGTTCGTTCATGATATATTTCTTTTGGTGAGATTATTAGGTCAATATTTATGTCACCTAGAATTAAAATATTTTTATACATTGAGAGTGTATCAAGATGCGCATTCAGGGAAGATATAAAATTGTCAGCGTTAACATATGACGGTGACCGATATATACCCAGTAGTATGAAGTTGTCAATAAGAACTTGAAGGCCAGTTGCTTCATTGAGATTTAATTCCGTTAT